CTTAGAAAATAAAAGTGACAAATGTTTTTTAAAGTTTTATGATAAACTCAAAATAGCTTTTAAAACAGGAGTTAAATGAATAGAATGAGAAGAGAGCATATGATTGTCCTGTTTTTCCCTTTAATCTCCTTGCCAAGGAAACTGAAAAACTAGAAAGGAAAACCTTTCTTTAGACCCTACTATCCTCCAGGTTCAACTTCCGGAAGGAACCCAAGAATACTAGATACTCACTTCCACTGCTGGACAGCGCCAACATATGATTTGACAGAAGAATAGCTGGTACTGTTTCACCTTTTCTTTCCTACCTTTTGCTTCCCCACTCAGAAGCAAATCTTTCACAAGCTAAATCACTTCTGCTGTCTATACAACTTGCACTTTCCCCAGGTAAGATGCGTACTCTCTCCTGATCTGAACTCTGTAAGCAGGTAAGCGTCCAAGAGGTTTATTGGATCCATTTCAGTAACCACAGATTAAGTAGGATTAGAAAGATCACAAAATGTCAATGTAACGCACACAGCTCAATGACTTCCCTCAGAGTCAATGCCACAACGAAACTGGACAGCTTGTGGCATCACACAAGTGCATATTTGAAGACATTAAAATAAAACCCTGTTCTGAACCTCTTACTTTATAAAATTGGTCTTCTAAGGGTTTAACATACATTAACCAATTTAATCATTATCAAACTCTTATGAATTGGGTATTACCAAGGCACACACTGCTAATGAGTACTGAAGGCAGAATTTAAATTCAAACAATCTAGTTCTACTATTCCATACTCGATTTTATTATGTTGTATTGCCTGTTATGAAAATACTAAAAAGCTTTAAGATGTACATTTTTGCTTTATAGTCCTAATTAATGTCACATACACATCATGATTAGATCATTTGTTTCTGTAATGGTATAGATGGCCATCTGTAGTTGGCTCAGATTTAACCAACCTTGGATGAAAAATGTCATAAAAAATTGCGCGTGTACTAAAAATGTAGAGACATTTTCTTGTCATCATTCCCTAAAAATACAGTATAGCAATATCTGTATAGCATTTATGTTGTATCAGGTGTTGTACGTAATCCAGAGATGATTTAATGAATGCGGAAGGGTGTGTGTAGGCAATATGTGAATGTAAGGTTCTTGAGCAGCTGGTGACTTTGGTATCCTCGGGGGCCTTGGCAGCAACAAGCTGTAGACACCAAGGGAAAACTGCTTATCACACAAAGAAGTTTGTTAATCAAATTACAGGCATTAAGTAATTTCTGCTTGCCAACTTTATCAGTCGTATTTCCCTATTCCAGGAGAAGTCTAGCATCTGCTTCCCTGTATTTACAAAGAGCTCTTTTCTAGCCTTACTTTATTGGAATGTCTGTACTGTATAATACAGCAAGCCTTATACTTTACATGGCCAAGGAAGTCAGCTACTGTCTAGGAGTTATTTACAGAGTCCGAAATGCTGACTTCAACCTAAGAGAACATGGAAAACCAACCAAACAATGACCACAGTATGAGCAGTTTCCCAAATAAAAATGTTACTTTTAAGAGCCATGGTTCATTTAAAAAAAAAAAAAAGAGCCATGGTTCATCCAGTTTTGATCCAATGAGTTTTTAGGATAGCTGATGTTACAGACAAGATATTTCAATTCAGGGTAGAGATTAACCCAGGCTTGAAGACTATGTGCTATCTGAGCTTAGGCCCAAAGCAGCTGGGTTGAGGAAGGGAATGAGCCACAGTTGGGGCTGGGTTGAGGGTCAGGCTTTGTGGGCACTTCTGCGAGGGCCATTGCCAGTCTCTGGAAGGGTTTAAAGGGGGCAGAGAACATTTATTTCTTAGAAAGATTCCACAAGCATGCAGTCTGGTGAACTGAAGGGTGGAAGGTGCAGAGGGAGTGCAACAGGCAAAAACACACTGTGCCCCGAATCACCAGTGAGAACGAAGAACTACTCAGAAGACTGAATCAATGAATAATGCCCAAATTCCTCACTGAGCATCAAAAGATAAGTGTGTCATCAAACAAGTGAAAGCAACAGAAATAAGGTTTGAGCCAGAAAACATCCAAATGGCTAGTAATTACTTAACTAAATACACGGTCTGCAAATGCACATTTAGTAGCCACTAGAATAAATTGTGCAGCTTGAAACTTCAGATAAACTATGCAATAAGAGGCATAGGGCCAGATATGACACTAACATCAGGGAAAAAGGCAGTGGAATAAAAGTGAAAAGAAGGGTGAACGAAAAGTTATGACCAAGACTAGATTAGGCACTATCAACACATCTTTCTTTGTCTACTACCTCAGACTCCTTCAAATGAGAGAAGAGGCACACTGACCCAAGGACAGACTTGGAATAAAGCCAGCCAGCCAGCAATTCAGAATTTACAAAACATTCCCAGAAAGCCGAGCAGATCAGACCTTGTACCACCTCACCAGGAGCAAGGACAGAGGGAATGGGCTGATGTTCGGCTTGCCGGCTGGAGGCACAACGTGGGCATTCTGCGTACTGTCTTCCACTTTCTTGGTAAGCTAAGAATCTAGGACACATGCTTGCGCTTGAGATGGGGGTAGGAGAAGCTAAACGGGAGCTTTGAGGAGCTCATTTCTACTATGGAGAAGAGGGAAAAAGAACTGAGCCAGGCAGGATTGCTAGGCAGCCCTGAACACTCAGATACAAATTACAGATCAGATATGGAGATTGGTAGGAATCTGCAAGGCTGTGTGATGCCACCAAGCAGCGGCCAGGAGTATATAACACATCTTCCCTTCAGCCAGTGGCGTGAGCTGCAAGAGCCCAGGTTCCTGAACCTATGTTTTCATTGTCATTAGAAAGGGGAATCATATAGAAAAGGGTCACTAAAGCTAGGGCCTGCAAGCTGTGAATGATATCTACCATTTGAATAGTTTCAAAAATAATCAAAAGACTGATAACACAGGAATATTACATGAACACACAAGTTTCAATATTCATAAAAATTTTTTCTTGTAATGAAACCACTTATTTCTTTACACATTGTTTACTATGAATGCTTTTGTGTCTTAGCAACAGAGTTACATATCCAGCCTGCAAAGCCATACACATTTACAGAGTATAATGGTATATCCCTGACATAAGACAAAAGCTGTGGAAAGACAAGAAAAGAATATATCAAAAGATTAAGAGCTGTGTGATCCTAATGATGAAATTGTTGGTACTTGACAAGGATATATTAAGTCTACCTTTAATTTTGACAGTATCAGTATGTAAAGTAAAAATTCAAATCAAACCTTGACATTTTAAATTCAGTCCAATATGGTAACATGTCTAGTTTATTCTTACTGAATTATGTTATTGACAGAACTTCTGTTGGACAGTCAGTAAGCAAAAATCAACTACAACAAGTAAGAATGTCCAGTTGTCCTGGTCTTGATCATAAAAATAAAATCAAAACATACTGACAAAGCCTGATGGCTCAGTAAAAGTTTTATGTTGTTGTAAAAATGAAAAATTCACCTTCCTGACTGAACTTGAGGAAGCAGCACACCTGGTATTCCACTCATTAGAGAGCTCAATCACTTCCTTTTCCAATGTCACTCCGCTTTCCTAGCTGATCTTCAAAAAAAAATGCTTCTTTGATCATTGTATATACTCCCGCCGCCCAACTAAACAGTATTAGTGCCTTAACAAAAGGTCAAACACTGTAACTTCAGAAATAGGCTGGCTGCAGCTTCATATCTTCTGGAAATGAAATAACAGCACTTACTGAACATGGTTAATAACTATTTTTCAAAGTGGAATCGACTACTGATATAAATGGTATTTGATAATGCAGGCTCAGTCTTTTGCTTACATGGTCAACTAAAAATATCTAAAGGTATGCTCAGAATTTACAGATCATGCAGCAAACCAAGAGTTAAAGTTGTAACTAGTGACAGGAATATCTATGCACATGGTATACTTAGCTACGTATTTAACCTTACCAAATGCATTTTCACCTTTATCTTTAAATGGGATTTTCCATTTTTATGCAACATAAAAGCATTTTCTGATAGAGAATAACCTTTGGTAGTTTAAAGTGTAAGCAATTTATTTAAATACTTAAGTCTATATCCTCCCACTGGATTTAAATCTTCAGCTGTTATTTCAATTTATGCATAAAGTAGGATTTTAAGTAATGCTAAAAGTGATGAAAATACTGAAAATGGAAAAATAAAATGAGGAAATGATATATGTAACAGAAAGTGAAGCTAATTAAACAAAAGCAGTGAGGTGAAATTCACTGATATTTTTCTTATAATTTCCTTGCCACATCTCTCTCTTTCTTAGGTTAGAATTTCTTCTGTAGACTTCCGGCATCCTAAAGGAAGATACTTGATAAAGTTTTACCAATGTCAAACACATTGCTGGGAAGAGAATAAGTGAGCACGTCTCTGTAATAACATTACGTATCACAGTAAGCCAAAATTTCATAGGACACATGTAAACTATACATTAAGTATTCAAATATATTTTATGTGACAGTAAAAACCAAACAAATTTCTAGAGTAATTTTATGGACTATTTCATTGTATGACATATTCCCTTTCTATAATACTAAACTATAACTAGAGTTGTACTTTGTGTTTCTGTGTTGCTTATTGGTCATTCCTTTCCATTAGAGTCTTCTTGAAAGATAAGAGTACATTTACATTATCATTGTAACAATCAAAACTCAAATAAGATGTTTGAGAAACTTTTCCTACTTACCCCAGTTATGTCCTTTACAAAGAGTAAAACATTCTTACAACCATAAAACACGCCTATCTTGACTGAATTATGTACAAATTGTGCTTGTAACTGCACCTTTTAGTTTCAGTCTTAGATAATCTTTTTGTTGAAAAAGCACAAACAGTTACTACAACTTTGAAACTATGTATTATACCAAACACCTAATTTTAATTGTTTAAAAATACTGCTGTAAATAACTATGTTTTGAAAATATAAAAATCTGTTACACTATCATGTTTTATTTAAATACTACAACATACCTTGCCGTGAGGATCAGCAAACATTCTTGTGAAAATTTCACATAATCTTTTCAGCTCAACTCGACTGCCAAAATAATAAAAAAGCTGATTAATAGCTTGCTACAGAAACAGTCATTCAAAGGTAACTTTACCTATAACTAGGTTTCTTAATAAAAGGCTTAAAAAAAAAAACGCAAAATTGAGGCTTAAGATTTACTAGTTAAGGTAGAATACAAAGTTACAAACGTGACAGATTTGCTGTAATGAACATTATTTTAAAGACTCAAAGTTATGAAAAGAAACATAATTATCAATTCCCAGCGGGTCATAGATCTAAATCCAAGAAATTTTCATCAAGTTACTGAAGGCAAACACAGGTGAAACACTCTAAGACACTGACATAAGCAAAGACTTCTTGGATAAAATCCCAGGAGCACGGGCAGTAAGAGCAACAGATGAAGGGATTATAGCAAGTCTATAAGCTTCTGCAGTGCAAAGGAAACACTCAACAAAGTACAGAGGCAACTGACAAAATGGAGAAAATATTTGCAAACTATACATTTGATAAGGAATTAACATCCAGAGCACATAGGAGCTCAAGACACTGGACCACAAACTAAGCAATCCAGTTAACAAATGGGCTTAGCTTAGGAACAGGCATTTTTCAAAGGATGAAAACAAATGGCCAGCAGATGCAGGAGATACTTGGGGTCACTGGCCATTAGGGAAATGCAAGCAGAAACCACAATCCGGTTCCATCTCACCCCAGTCAGAATGGTACCATCCAAAAATCAAATAATAATGAATGATGGCAGAGATGGGGCGGGGGAAGCCACCCTAAAGCACCCCTGGCTGGAATGTAAACGCATACAGCCATTATGGAAGGAAAGTGCGGAAACACTTCTCAGAACTCTGAAAACAGGCGTACTAAACGACCCAGCTATTCCACTCCTGGGAATTTACCCAAAGGAAATGAAACTAGCATTGGAAAGAATTATATGTACCCCAGCTGTAAGGAGATCAACCACAATAGCTAAGATACGGAACAAACCCAGCTGTCCATCAACTGATGATTGGATAAAGTAATTATGGTATATGTACACAACAGAATACTATCCAGATGCTAAAGAGGAAGGAAGGAAGGAAGGAAGGAAGGAAGGAAGGAAGGAAGGAAGGAAGGAAGGAAGGAATCCTACTCTTTGTAACAAAATGGATGCAACTGGAGACCATCATGTTTAGTGAAATAAGCCAGTCCCCAAAAGACATATATCACATATTTTAAGAATTGCATGACTTGTGGTAACTAATATATAGAGTTCAAAAACCAAAGTAAGATATACGAGTAAAACTTGCAACTTGAGATTTGATTACCGTTTATACCTCTTGTTTATTTCATTGAGGAATAGTGGTTCCCTTCTTGCTACTTGTTGAACTCTATTTAGTGGAGGATTAAGCTTGTGATGATAAAGAAAACTGAACATACATAACTATTAAATTAAAAGAAAAATGGGCCTGGCATGGTAGCCTAGTGACTAGAGTCCTCGCCTTGCACATGCCAGGATCCCACATGGGCTCCAGTTCTAATCCTGGCTGCTCCACTTTCCATCCAGCTCCCTGCCTGAGGTCTGTCAAAACGGTACAGGATGGCCCTAAGCCTTGGGACCCTGCACCCGCATGGGAGACCTATAAGAGGCTCCTGGCTCTTAACTTTGGATTGGCTCAGCTCTGGCCATTGTGGCCACTTGGGGAGTGAATCATCAGATGGAATATCTTCCTCTCTGTCTCTCCTCCTCTCTGTATATCTGACTTTTCAATAAAAATGAAGTCACAGAGGGAAATCTCACTATTCTCATGACTGCATGAGTTAAATGCATGAAATCTGTCCCCATGAAACACGTAACACAAGAAATGCAGCTATATTTCATCAGTGTCACATGATGGTAAATCACACATTTGACATTTCCAGCACATGAATCCGATCCTTACATTCCACTTCCTAGGGGCTGAAATCTTTTTACTGTCTTGTTATTTAGAACAAAACAGTGAGTTTGATATTAACCTAATCTTGATGGCTGAGTGAGGATAATACTATGAGTTTAAGTGCTATGCTTCATGAAGTATGATAATTTACATGAAAATACATTGGGCACAATAAAAATATTTATTAAATCATAGATCTTTTAAAAAATAAATATGCAACAAGTATATCAAACTCAGATTTCACAGGTTATCAAGCAACATGCAATTCTACAGAATAGTTCAGGACAATGAAGAGTGCTGGGAGAAAAAGTCAAAGCCATTTAGAAAGGAAACAACACGAAAACCCCCAAAACCAAAATAAATCTCTGTCAGTAGACAAAATCATATTAATTTCTTTTTATTTTTTTTATCAAGATTCATACGGTTAAAAAAAAAAACACTAAAAAGACGCCTTAATTTCTGAATAAGCACAAGCATTCCTTCCTTTCACTGAAAAACAACCTACCAGAAGCAAAATCCTAATTAAATTAGCATTATTGGTAGGTACATTTTAATATTTTAAGATTATGTTTTAATTTAACCTGTACTTGTGGATAAAAGTTTCCTTTGAGCACACTTCATAAAACACAACTGAAATGACCAATTATTGGTAAAATACAGAATACACAGTCCCACAGGACTGAAGTTTACCAAAAAAACCTCCTGAATTCAAGACAAATAACCTTCTATGCCAGAACTCCGACAGAGTTTAAAAGTGCTAGCTCAGCAGAAAGTCGCCGGAAGAAACTGCCTCTTACCTTAACGTTCTTTGATTTTTCAGTAAGTTCTGCAGCCCCAGGAGCCCTTCCTTCCTTTCTGACCAATTGGAACTAGCACAGCGGTTAAGGACTTCCGCGACATCTTCTGTCTGCCGCATGTACGTGGGGATGCTGCCGTTTCGAGAACTGTACGAACGTTCCGAGCAAGCGCTGGATGCGTCACTGTTGGCGTCGTCGTCAGAATGCATCCCGTACGATTCGTATCTTCTTCGAGCCGGTTTTTTCTGTTACATATAAATAATCTCATTGGGAACAGCTAAGAATGGAACGGTATTTCACAATATGTGTGCATCCCAAAACAACTGCTTTGTGTTTCCAAATTGATTCAAAGCATGCTGCTAGTCATTCACTTTTGTAAAAAGTTGTAGATGAGGTATTTTTTTAACTATGGGAAATCACAGAAACAGAATAGACGATACAGAAGTAAAGCTACGAAAAAGTGGGAAATGCACAGTGTACATTTTTTTCTTCTTTAATTTTCATGGAAAACCAAGTAAATCAACAGAAACGACAATCAGTTACTTCAAAAAGTTCACTTGAAAACTGTCAAGAGTTTGCTTTGTGGTTTTATTTAGCCACATTCATTCTGACCAAAAACAACAGCAACAAAAGCAATGAAAACATAAGGCATGCTTCCCACAAACTTCCTGAAGATCCTCGTAGAAATTAGAGCTGGTTAAGTAGAAAATACTACCCCCTTACTGAAGCCATACAAAAGATCCTAAAAATGGATTCTTTCTCTGTGTACAATTCCATTCCTCCTCCTACCCTAGCCAGCTTCTCTCTGCTACTTTTCTCACCCGTGTTCTTTGTCACAGTTGCAACCCTCACATTTACGGAGGACTAAAATGCCAATGGTGAAAAATGGTTTTGCTCAGTGTCAATGTTAGGGGGAGCGTAACCCAAGGGTGCTTCAAAAAAATTGGTGGACCCAGAATTAAAAGACAAGTTTGTTTTGATATCCAAAAACTTTGAAATGGATGCAGTTTTTTTTAATAATACATATTTTACACAAACTTTTTGAAGCGCCTTTGTATACCACTCATGTCACTAAATATGAGAAAGCAGAGATTTCTTTATAAGAGAATCGATTAGAGTTTGTATACTGAAGTGAGATGAGAGAATAAATAGATTATTTAAGATGTCCTTGAATGAGTCAGAAGCAAATCTTTATGTGTACATGAATTTTGGCTGCTGAGTGGTAAAGACGCTATCAAACATTTTAAGGACAATTACTTAAAATAGTTCTCAGTGGCTTTAAATTCTCTGAAGTCTAAATCTACAGGAAATCTGAACTCAAATAGTTTACAATGACAGTCCTTTAATAAATGCCTTGTATCGATTTAGAAATATCTACATAGTTTAGAATAGCATTGCTGTAATATCTGCCTATAGTAGGCTCTGGGACAAGCGCTGTAAACACCAGTGTGAATTTACTCATCTCATCTGCATTACGTAGTCAGGGTGAAAGACACTCTACTTAAGTGGTATCTGCTTTTTGATAAGCATATTCATAGAAAAATAGATGTCTGTCTAGGAGTTTTATACATCCACTTTGATTTTTTTTATAGGAAACCATCATCTGTTAAATTGACGAAGCAAAAGAAGTTACGGTATCACAAGATGTCAGAAAACAGCAATGTCTATACCTTAGTCCGCATGTCTCCTAAGAGCTGACAGCATTAATTTTTAAAGAGAAAAATTGAAAATAATGAAGAACAGTTTGCTAAACAGCACATTGAAGTAGGCATTAACAATGCCAATGATCAGAAACATTAAGTTTTTAACAAACAGATACAAAAGAACCACTTGGGCGCAGCCTATATCTTTAATCTTGTCAATATCCCTTAGTTCAAAGGCAATGTTCCCAAAGACATTCCCTATTTGGATTACTTTTCCATTCCCAAAGTTAGCTTTATTTTTATGATCTTTCCCGGGTCCAAATTAGGCTTAACAGCTGGAATGTATTTTTTCCTGCACATTGACTAAAGTGAATGGAATATCTGTGCTGTGCACACAATGGGAGCACACAGAATGACTGGGATTCCCATTTTATACTTGGTGACTACACACATTCCTCAAATGACTAACATACACCATATTCGCATAATAGCTTGTTCCATAAAATTGATGTGCGTTGGACTTAAGCATTCAATTAAAGAAAACTAGAAAACACGATTTGAGAAATACGCTGAGAAGGAACAGTAACCATCTTGGTCTGCCTTTCCAGCATCAGAACATGTCCCCATCTATCCCACATCCATGGGAGCCAGGCCTCCATCCAGCTGTTATCAATCGACAACAAAGTCATCTAGTGGCTCGGCTAAGGGGACAAGGTCAGTGCTTGCACACTGTGACAGCAGAACGATAGGCGTCCCGTGATAATATTCAGCAAGTTACAGCCACTCTTAATGAATATTTTAAAACATTTTAAATGTATGCAGGAAAGATTAGGTATAGTTATCGATAGCAGTTAAGATGTGGTAGCTTTAGAAGCATAATAGGTAATTTTTAGTTCAAAGCAAACTAAATGTTTCTCAATTTCAGGATAAAAAAGATAATTTGAAGGAAATGTCATATCAAGTTCACTTGAGGAATCACCAAAAAAACCCGTGTTGTCTACAATGTTTGAAATGCTACTTCCACAATTTTAAGCAAAGAACACTGAAAATACGTACAGACTCAAGGACAAAATGTCATGGATCTTCAGGGTATATTTCTAAACCTCACCATTTAATGTGCCAAGTATAAACAACCAAGAAGCCACCTTCATTATAATTTGCACTTTCTCTTAGCTCAGAAAATAAGGCTAAAGAAAATGTGATCCTAAATTAAAACAACAAATGCTCAAGGTTAAGCTAGCATTGAAATTACATGTGTGTATCTGTGTGCATATGTGTTTATACTAATCTATTTGCTCTTATATCCAGTAAGTAAACTGCAGCATATAAAATATATTAACATACTAATCGTCCTGATACTCATCAGTACTCTACGCCCTGAGTTAAAATTCTGAATTCATAAAGATCAATAATTAATTACACTGCTCTGCTCTTCATATTGTCCACATTTTTAATTCCTGTACCTCATGCATAGACATTTTCCCATTTTCTATTCAAAGGGGAGCCTGCCTCAGTCACTCCTACCCTAACTCAAACAGCTGGACTGATATGGAAACGGACTAGAGTACCAAGGCATCTGCTACGGCCTCCTCCACGTCGGAACCCGTGTTCAGGACTCGCATGGCACTGACGGACGAGGACAGTCGGCTGGATTGGCTGATCCCATATCCCGGACCTAATTCATCAAAAGAAGGAATACAGCTTTGAGACAGTCATAAAAGTAACAGTGGTGGTTTGGGACGTTTTAAGATCCTTGAGGGAGGGGAAAAAAAACCAATGGGGCAAAGCATTTTAAGAGCAATATTGTACTTTCCGGGCACATTTAGTATTTGGTCATATAAAAGAGTAAAGGCAATCAGAATTACTGACAGTGTAGGGAATAAACTTACAGAATATTAACGATTTACAACCACTAGAAACCAAGGGCTCGCAGATTAGAGTTAACAAATCTACAGCCCTCTAATTAATCTAGTTCTATCAGTTCAGACACCATCTCATCTCATGGATAAACTAAAGAGTAAACCCGGGACAAAGAGCAGTTTCCAAAAGGTAACGGTTCAGAACATCAGTGAGTCCACACCAGGAATTTGCAAGGGGAAAAAGCTCCAATTATTATCTTCTCTCCTTCAGGATAGGCTGATCTCATTCCATCACTGAGGCAGATCATTTGATAGCCGTTACGTGCCCAGCATTCCAAGGGAGCTGATGACAAACCAGAAATGAACTGTCCCCCTCAACTGCTTTCTATACCACCGTTTACAATTAAAACACTTCATCCACCATTTTGGTTTTTTTTTTTTAAACATACACAAAAATGAAATACATAACTAAGAACATAAAGCAGTTCTATACTCTAAAATGACATAACAGATTATATAAATTAAAGTTTCCAACTGCTAGTAAAAAAAAATGCTCAATAAGACTGCTGAGGGGGGAAAAAGTTACTTGGGGAGAAAAAAAATTGAAACAAACAACGATGACAAAAAAAAATCTGAAAATATGAATATTATTTGATGGAAACTGAAAAGGACAAAATGTGAGATGAAGGCACAGATGATGATGGAAGTGTACTCATCCTTCACCTGAGGCCCCGTACACTTCGGGGGCGTAGAGGGCACCAGTAGATCTGGAATGATGTCTGGAGGCTGGAATAACAGGACCATACAAACCCCATCTATTACCACAGACACAAGGAATAGTGGCAGCACTACTGTCAGGCAAGGAGACGGAGTTCAAACTCGGAGTACGTTTCAGCGCTGATGATCAGGATGTTGCCAAATACGGCCAAGTGGACGTGAACATTGCAACACCATCCCTGTCACACAGACACAACTGACGCCTCCGGGACAGACACGGGCCTACAGCAGACCCAGGAAGGAGGGCAAATACTCAAATGGAAGGAAATGCCAAAAGTACAAGCATGAAACAAAGAAATAAAAACAAACATTGTGGTTAAAAAAAAAACCACTATGGTAACTAGTGACTAATAATAATCTTATCTTCTTTAACCCCAATAACCCCACAAGAGAATTATTCCAGTTTCCTGGGGGTGCTGTGGTCTAAATGCTTACGAACCCCCTCCCACTTCCTCACTGACACGCTGAAATCTGCATCCCCAAATTGACCGCACAGGAGGCAAGTTTCTCTTTGATATCAGTGCCCCTGTAACAGAGATTCAGGGAGCTAGCTGGCTCCCAGTATCCCACAGAAAAACCACCCGAGAACCAGAAATAGGTCCTCACGGTCACTCCATCTGCGGGCACTTTGACGTGGGGCTTAGCATCCTCAAACTGGGAGGAATAATGCCTATCATTTATAATAATGACTATCAGTCCATGTCTTTCATCAAAAGCCTGAATGAAGCAGAAAAGGAAACTTAAAGCACATCAATTTGATCAAATTCACAAAGCATGGTGTATTATTTCAAAATCTCTGGTTTCTTTTTTCAAAACTTTTTTTTTAAGATTTGTTTATTTGAATGGCAGAGTTAGAGAGAGTCAGAGAGTTAGAAAGAAAGGGAGATGGCAGGGGTAGGCCAGGGCAAAATCCAGAACCAGGAGCTTCCTCCAGGTGTCCCATGTGAATGAGGTGGGTCCAAGCACTTGGGCCATCTTCCACTGCTTTCCCAGGGGCTTTAGCAGGGAGCTGGATCAGAAATGCTGCACTAAATGTCTATCCCAGCTGCTTAATAATAAAATTAGGACAGTTTTTAAATTTATTTTTAAAAATTTACTTGAGAAGCAGAATGACAGAAAGAGAGGGAGGAGAGAAAGAATCTTCCATCTGCTGGTTCACTCCCCAGAGGCCAGCTGGAAGCCAGGGCCCAGCAGTTTCATCCATGTCTGCCTGTGGGTGGCAGGAGACCAAGCACTAGGGTGAGATCCGCTGCCTCATAGGTGCATTAGCAGGAAGCTGGCAAGGAATGTGGGCATCCCAAGTGCCAGTCTAACTGCTCTGACATAATTCCCACCAAAACTGGATCCATTTAAATTGTCCAATGGGTGAACACAGAAAACTAAAGGGTAGATAATACTTCTTTCAATATTGTTATGTTTGCATTTACATTTTGAGTAACCGGTATCGAATGATAAATTTCCTCTCATCTCTCACCACTGTACAGGTTTAAAAGGTATAGGAGCACATCTTGGTTTTTTCTGATAGGTTCTCTAGTAATTTCACAGCATTCTGTAAATACACGTCATATCGTTAGAAACCTAGATCTTTGTCACTACTCTGTCATGAAATTGTGTCTGGGTCAGCAATGAGTGTTAGGGGAGTTCTGGGGCAGTGGAGGCAGGGAGGCAGTGATGACACCCACAGTGACCACGACAAGTGATTGCTCACCGGGTGTCTGGGTACCAGGCATTGATGTGAGGGATCTTTGCATGCATTTTCTCATTTGCAGTCTTCAAGGCAAACCTAAGACATGTGTGTAATTATCATTCCCATTTTCTAGAGGAGGAAGTCCAGGCACAGAAAGGTGACAAATCTGAGGCATGAACCCAAGCTACCGGACCCTAGAATGCATCCTCATTTAAAAGTGATTTATTTTACTTGAAAGGCAGGGTTGCAGAGAGAAAGGGACAGAGGGGAGGACAGATCGATGGACAGATTTTTGACCTGCTGTTCACTCCCATAATGGCCACGGCGGCTTAAACCACTTGTTGCACAACAACTGCCCCAAGATGTATGGTCTCAGAGGTCACACAACCTCTCCACTTTGTTCAGCTCCTCACAGTGCCATCCTTGATGGAAAGGGAGACTTGATTTTGTTTCTTTAAATGAACACAATGAGAACGCACAACATACTTGGGAGTGGATGTGCGCAAGTCTGAAGAACAACTTTAGGCATTATAGCAAACTACATGTACAAAGGAAAAGTATCTGAAGGACTACATATTTGGGCATATAAAAAATGCATTGGTTGGGGCCAATATCACGGGATAGTACTCTTAAATTGCCTCCTGCAGTGAGTGCTAGTATGCCATAAGGGCACAGGTTCGTGTCCCAGTTACTCCACTTCTGGTCCAGTTCCTTGTTTAGGGCCTGGGAGAACAGTGGAGGATGGTCCATGTACTTGGGGCCCTGCACCCAAGTGAGAGATGTTTTAGAAGCTGTTGGGATTCAGACTGGCTCAGTTCTGTTTGTTCCAGTCATTCTAGGAGTAAACCAGATGATGGATGATCTCTCTTTCTCTGTCTCTCCTTGTCTCTATAAATCTGTCTTTCAAATAGTAAACAAATCTTTGGGATAAAAATAGTATCCATTAGAATACTGAAGGATCATGTAGAACTTCTAAAAGATTTTCTCAACATAAAAAATTATATTGGCATAATTACCCTAAAACAGTGAGAGGTTTAAAAAATCATTTGGTATTTTTATAACTGAAACAAAATATTTTAAAGTCAGGGTTATAAAGCAACGTCCAGACAGATAATCAGGGATAAACAGATTTTATAGTAGTAACATGGGAGGAGCTAAAACATGGGAAATGACCTTAAGTTGTAAAATACTATAAGCATTCTTCACATGAATGATACATGCACATGGCATCCTGCTGCACTCTTTCATATAACACAAGTTAAATGATCTAAGTTGAAAGATCAATATTTCTGCTGAAAAAGACAAAAGTATTTATTTGACTAAGCTTAACAATCCATTCACCTTTTGAGAATACTTAAATCTTTAAATTGTACAGGTTGACTTGTCCAGAAAAAGCTTGAATTCTGTACTGTCAAATTTCAATCTATGTGACATCTACTTGATCACGATAGTGATTTAATTAAGCCATGACTAACATTTACACTTCCTACAAGTAAGTCAAGCCAAATATATTTCCTAAACATATCATTTCCTTCTAATTCCTAAAATGACATAGAAGAGAAAGGGCAAGCAAAGCTAATGAGGACAGCCAGGGTCCAGGTACACCGAGGTTATCAGATGGCAGTGACCCCAGGGGACAGCAGTGTAGCTCTGCCCAGACACTTACCCAGGGGCTGGAAGGAGCGCACAGGACTCGTGTCCCTGCTGCTCTCCCGGCTGGCTTCCCGGCTGCACCCTTGGCTCACGCTGGGTCGGGGGATACGGCTGCTGCGAGCTGGGACCAAGCAGTGATGGAACATCGGGGAGGGAAGAGAAGAGTGACTTTTAAAAAATTCAGCCTTATTTTTCTTTCTTAAAAAACTTAATCAGTATCTTGCACTGTCCTAAGGTTGAGAAGAAAGCATGCTTGATAAGAAGCAATACTAAATACTCACCAGCTATAAGTCAAAAGAGGGGGAAAAAAAGCATTACTAGGAATACAGTGAAATTTGTTGAATACGGTTTTCTGATTTGTATGGTGCTAGAAGGGTAAAATATTACTTCACTAAAAAAAAAGACTACAATTATTGCATAGCAGTGGCTGTTCGTTGAACCAGTATTTGTCATTTTTGGTATATTAGGTTAAAATCTTTTAAGTAATTAGTTCAAAGAATGAAAGAGATACTTTCTATCTGCTGGCTTAATACCTAGATGGCTGCAACGGCCACACAGGTAGGCCAGCCTGAAGCCAGGAACTTCATCTGGGTCTCCCACAGGGATGACAGCGGCCCCCCCAAAACTGGGTCATCTTCAGCTGTTTTCTCAGGCCATTAGCAGGGAGCTGGACTGGAAGCAAACCAACTGGAACTTGACCCAGTGCCCACAAGGGAAGCCAGCAGCACAGGTAGCAGCTTTACACATTATGTCAGCCCCCCTAAAGCTTGCTTTTTGGGGACCACCACTGTGGTGTAGTGGGTAAAGCTGCCAAGTGTAACACCAGCATCCAGATGGGTGTTGGTTCGTGTTCCGGCTGCTTCACTTCAATCCAGCTCCCTGACAATGACCCAGGAAAAGCAGCAGAAGATGGCTCAAGTGTTTAGGCTCCTGCTACTCAGGGGGTGACCCAGAAGCCTATCTTCCGGGCGTTGGACTGCCTGATCCTGGACATTGAGGCCACCTGGGGAGTAAAACAGTAGATGAAGGATATTTCTGTATTTCCCACTCATTGTGTAACTCTGATTTTCAAATAAATCCTTTTAAGGGGGGGCAGTTTATTTACTTATTTAGTTATCTATTTAAAAAGCAGTATGGTGACTGAGACACAGAGTGATCTTCAATCAGCGGGTTCACTCTTGCAATGGCTGCAACAGCCAGGGCCGAGCCAGTCAAAGCCACAAGTCATGAACTCCATGTGGTCTCGTCTACAGGTAACAGGATCCAAGTTCTCGGGCCTCCTGGGCGGCTGTATAAGAAATGAAGCACCTGAGACTCAACCTGGAAGCCTGATACGAGTTGCAGGCATGCTAAGTGCCTCTTTCACCCACAATACTGGCCCTCAACATTTTATTGTTAATATAAAAATGTACACACATCAAATATTAAAGTACAAAGTCTATTTTTACAATTTTTAGTTCAAGATAAAATGGAAAAAAAAATGAGCTAATGCTGTTAAATTTCATCACTTTTCTCCTTCCTCACAAATGCACACAACTACAAAAATAACAAGTAACACAGAGTTCAGGGATGAGGATGAGTGAAAACAGAGGGAAAAATTACTAAGTCTGGAAAACAAGTACAAGTGATCCAACTTAGTTGCGAACTTCATACTTTTGTTAAATTCTAATGCTAGTGAAAATCATTACAAAGGATATTAATTCAAAGTGTTAGGACAAAAATCTGTGCCCTGTACTCTCAGACAAGCAAGCCTTTAGAAAGCTTGATTCCTACACACAATTTCCAAGTAACCTGTATGGGCAAATTAAGAAAAAAAAAAAAAAAAAAAGATCCAGGAAAGACTATTCAGTCCTTTTACAGAAAATGGGGAAGTTAATGCGCTGGGCTGCCCACGTGGCATAGGAGGTAGGCTGCCCCCTGTGGTACTGGCAGTCCCATATGGGCGCCGCTTCAAGTTCTGCCTCCACTCCTGGTTCAGCTCCCCGCTGACGCTCCTGGCAGAACAGCACAAGATGGTTCAGGTTCTTGGGCCCCATTTCTGGATGCTGCAGCCATTTGGGGAGTGAGGAAGATCTTTCTCACTCCGCCTTTCAAATAAATAAATACTTATCTTGAAAAATAAAATAAAAGATGGTAACTGAACAAAATGCCCTGCCAGCCACCAATTCAGATTCTACTGGAAAGTCTCCAGAAAATACTGTACTTCCTGTGATAGCTGGCAGCATTAAAAGGACAGCAGTATTGGAGAAGAAAATAGTACATTTTACCAACTACTAATATATATATATGTATGTGTATATATATATATGTGTATGTGTATATATATACATATAATTATAAATTATTGGAAAGGCTATATTAAAAAAGTCACTTCCCAAAATCAAAGCAAACTAAAATATACCATAACTAAAAGTAGCAGCACTGAAAGGGAAGAGAATTTTTTACACTAGGAACATTCTCCTTCAAGTGCCCCTAATTCTAAATCTTCAGTGTACCTCTGGAAGAACCGAGGTTACAGAATGTCTCGGCAGGAAATGGTATTGAATTACTTGTAACACAGCAAATGTTAGCTTTTGTAACATTTAAAGTCCATGAATGCAACAAATTCCTAGTTTCTGCTTGTAGGTGCTGAAGAGAACTTACCCTTAAACCTTAACAATGAAAAACAAAAATGATGACGTCAAGAAAGCACAGGGTGAAGGGAACGTTATGGAGCCGAGATCGAGACTGAGCAGAGGAAATACGAAGCGAGACGTGTCAGGCTGTAGTCATACAGGTAGGTTTGGGAAAACCAAGGATGACAAACAAGTTACAGTCACTCAGGGCTTCTGTTCTCAGCCCTGGGGGCAAAGCCAGCACCATGACTGAGGAAGCAGAATCAGAAGGAAGGAATGGCAGGCAGACACTCTGGGTCCATAACAATCGTTCAACAGTAAACCCCGAGGTTGGCACAATCTCTCAACTTTTTAGTGAAAAAACCTAACCAAGTGTTTTACTGTGTAAACTGGCTGCTTTGTAATGTCCGCCATGTGAAATACTCAAAAGAGAAAACAAATATTTATGTTTTTGAATGGGGTTGACCTACAATGTCTACAGCAGCAGCCTAGACATATATGAACCTCTATAATATCACATACAGTTATTTACACACAGAGTCAACACTGTCGCCTCCTCGGGTCTGTATGAGCAGGAAGCCGGACAGTGAAACCAGGAAACGTGATACAGGATGTGAGTGGATTAGCTGAGGGTACATGTCCAGCTCTTCCCTACTTTTTTATACTTCCTGTAAGTTCTATTTTCAAGATAAGACAGCTAATCAACTCAAAAGTTACATTTCAATTCTCCTTGGATTTTTTTATAAGGGTTTATTTATTTTTATTGGAAACTGAGTTACAGAGAGAAGGAGACAGAGAAACATCCTCCGCCTGCTGGTTCACTCCCCAACCGGCCACAATGCCAAGAGCTGAGCTCATAAGAACCCAAGAGCTTCTTCCAGGTCTCCCATGTGGTTGCAGGGTCCCAAGATTTTAGACTGTCCTCCACTGCTGTCCCAGCCCACAAGAAGGGGGCAGGATGGGAAGCTGGGCAGCTGGGACACAAACTGCAGCTGATACGGGATCCTAGCAGTGGCAAGGTGAGGACTTTAGCCACTAGGCTACTGAGCCAGGCTCTTACTCCTTGAATTTTTAAGCTGATTTTCTTTAATTATAAGGACCTAAGTGGATTCCAAAGTCTCCAATGTTAGCAAAAAAAAATCTGGAATATAAAAGAAAGAAAAGACGGCCACATCTTACCTACTGAGAGCCTCGACGGGCTGGCCTCCCTGCTACAGCCCTGGCTGCGTGGTATCTTGCTTCTTTTCTGTGCTGAAGCCGAATTGACGAGGACTCTTTGCACACCAGAGCTCACAGTGGAGAGCGCTGTGGTGGTCAGCACTCTTCCAGGAGACCCCGAGCGGCTGCCAGCTGAACACCAAACACACAGCAAAGTATTAAAACAGGAACACTAAGAGAACTTCGCAGGAACACATCTCAAACGATTATGATCACACGGTAAATTTTAAGGTCAAAGGAAATGGGCTGAGGCAGAGCTGGACACAGCTGCAACCTGGAAAAAAACAGTGCACTAAATATACTAGCACTAAATGATGAACCACACGGAATCTTCAGTTTTGGGGTCCCAGTCTGTCTGATAATAACGACACTATGATTTTGAGAACACAAACAGTATAAAAGGTTTCTAGAGGAATAATTTATTCAACAATACAGTTCATACTGTTATAAATGCTGTGTGGAAAAGCTGTATGTTTAAAAAGCAAAGTTTAATAATTCTACTACTGCCACTTTTGTTCAGCACATGTTAATTTGCTTTATCTTAACCTACACTCTCCACTGAGATGTCTTCAAGTGAGCATAGCAAAGCTACTGTCTTGCAACTATGTGTATCTTTAAATTTTATAAAACTAATTTCAAATACTGATAAAAGTGGGACAACTGAAGAAGGACCTTGTTGGTGTCACCTTTCACTAGCAAAGGTCTTTTGGGTAGCCACTTATGGGATACCTAAGCACGGAAGACAGAATAGGACCAAAGGGCGAATGCCAAAGACTTCAGACCCTTTCCATAAGGGTGATTCTCATTCAGGCACGGAAGACAAGGCAACGGGATCAGGGAGCCAGACAGAATCTGAGAACAGAGATTGAGTTTTCTAAACAGGAAAAATGGCTGCAAGCCAGAAACGCATACAGTAACCTTTAAAGGCACAGACTCTGTTAACCAAAGCACTTGATGTTCATGGAATGAGAAAGGGACCTAGATTAATTCCAAGTAGAACCTAACTGAATGGTTACTTACTCCAGAAAAGTTAAACTTGCTCTTGAGTCAGTTTTCATGAAAGCAAACTTTTACTTCAGTGCCTACTTCTATCTGCTAGGAGCATCACTGCTCATATGAACAAACTGACCCAATCATGTTTCCTTTCTATAGGGAAAAGATTAAATATTCAAATGCCAATTGGGATAAGCGTGGGAGATCGACAGGGAAGAAATGGACACAGGATAAAAGACTGTGATTAAGGAAGAGGTGACTTTTTAGCTCCAGACAATTCTCACTTGAGGTAACTTTGTCTGGGTCTTTGATTTTTTTCAAAAATGAAAGCTTTAAAATTCTCTGATTTTTATCATATTAAGTAGGCCAAAGCAACACATTAATGGAATCAGACAAGCTAGTCCATGGGTGGCTGATCTGTAAACACTGTTATAGTTCTCTTCGCATTGTCTTGTTGAGTATAATGTTCCTACTTAATTCTTGAGTTTTATCAGCACAAAAAATGAAACTTACCTTCTTTGTTGATAGCAACATTCTAAAACAAAGCACTGTTTCCAATGAAATTAACAATTGCTAGAGTACAAGGAATTCTAAAATTTAGGGACATTATTAAAGTCTTAAAAATGACTGCTCATTTGACGTCTCAACGTTTCAGTTGAAGAATCTTTACAGTAACATTTTATTTGCATTTGAGAGAGAGAGAGAAGAGGTATACTCATTTGTTCGCTCACTCCCTCAAATGCCTGTGATGACCAAGGTTGACCAGGCCAAAGCTGGGAGCCAGGACCTCGGCCTGGGTCTCCCACATGGACACAGTGACCCGATCACTTGAGCCATGACCTGCTGCTTCCAGGGTGTGTGCACTGGCAGCAAGCTGGAATCCCCATCAGGACAGGGACTCAAACCCAGGCACCTCTGCATGTCAGGCTAAATGCCAGACTCCAAGTGAAGAATATTTAAACCCAAACTTCTCTTCATTAAATCCTTAAGGATGCCTATAAGGCACCTGTGGTCTCCATGCAGGTCTAAACTAAACATACACACCAAAACATCCAAACACCCAACATGCCACAAACTCACAATGCAAGATAGGCTAATGGAACACTGTATGGGAAAACCTGCAACAATGTAAACAGAATAAACAATGAACTGAGCACATACAATATGATGTTCTGTTAGAACGATACAAATTTGGTGAATGATGATGTCGGAGGGAGAGATTGGAGAATTCCTTGCAATGTGGGTCTATTCAGCAGACAGGAAACATGCAATTTTGAAGTAACTGTTTTATTTTTAACTCTAGATTTACAGAACTCATTAAATGATACAAGCTCACTGTATATTCATTTATGGTCTCCCATAATAAATTCAACTGGTGGTGCTTACTTCACTATAACCATTTACCCTTTCTTTGATACCCTCTGATTCCCAACAAGAATGTGACAGATAATTCCAGGGCTTAGGGCTCATTTTACAACTATTTGTGCTCACAAAACAATACCAACGCTGTTTACCCAGCAAAGAGCCACCAAGGCTATCTGTTTTCATTAGAAAAGCCACAGAGTTGAGGAAAAACAGCACAGCATGCCAGGGACTAGCATGCTGCCACTGGGAAAATCTGAAATTAGCGCTGTCTAAAGCGTTCAAATTTCCATTTTATACCTTGTGGCAGTTCAAAGCATTATTACTACTCTTTTTCTTCTGAATGTTTACATGCGCATGAACGATTTTGCTAATTTAAACATCCTTGAGTTTTGCTAAAAAAGCAAAACAAAACAAAAAAAGAGGCAGGCCAAAGTCAATTTTTTTTCCCAATTGACAATCATTTTTTTTTTTTCCAATATGGTTACTGAAAGCAGAGTATCATATGAACTTCTGCTGAATAGAACCCATTTCTTTTCATGAAAATAGGTGATCAAACAAGTGATGCACACATCAAGGGGCTATAGATTCTTACCACCAATGGTATTAGCAGACTGTGATCCTGAACAAGTGTAAAGGCAGAATTAGGGTAAGGGTTATCATCCATGTAGAGGGAAGGAGCAGTTTTTAAATGGATGGCAGATGGAAATAAGAAAGCTGTCGTCAATTCTCAGAAAACGAAAAACCCGAAAGCAAAAAAAAAAAAAAAAGCAAATTTTTCGAAAGTTTCAAAAGCACAATGTCTACAACAAAAGCAGTACATTTAGTAGTTTCAACAACTGGTAAGCAGAAGACAGACACTCATGTACAAAGCAGATGAAATGAAGCTGCAAAAGCAAATTCTTCAGCTTTTTCAATTACTGATAGTCCAAAATCAGCGTAATTAAATGTTTAAGCTTTCTTTATTAAACATTTAATTTAAAACTACATGTAAGGAATAGCTACTGTGTCATAGCTGAAGAAAAATTTACATGGAATAGCCACAAATTGCATCTTTGTTGAGACACAGAAGTAAACGGCAGGAGTGCTTACAGGCTGTACAATCACTTGTACACAACCAGTCGCTACCAACAAAAGACAATGCTGTCACAATATCAATCTGAAGTCTCTTCATTGGGTCTGCTTTACATAACACACCTGCTTTGATTCAAGAGATCTTTTTGTTTTCTAAATGTTGACACAAAAAATATGGGAAGATCATGCAAACCATAATTAATAATTTCAGGACAAAGTGAAGATGGAGACCAAACAAATATTTCTGTGGAAATAGGTTTTGAAAAACTTGCACAGAAATTACATTACATCTTTTTTTTTTTTTAACAAAAGAACTTGGTATGAAACACATAGTTATTCAAATAAAAGAAGCAAGCAAACAACAAAACTCCTTAACAAGCTGATTGAGATCCTTGGTGATCTGACAGCTGGAAAGTGTCTGACCTTCGAGTCCTACAGCTCTAAAGAGCCATTCACTGTGCTCTTACATGTTAGAAACAGTGTTGGATTATGTGGGCTGAGTTTCAAAGTGAAAAAAGAAATCAAAAGAAAAATTCTATGTCCTTGGAATCTGTAGTTACAAAGTACCTTTGAATCTTCACTCTGAAGTCAACATTAATATTATTTTAAAAGAGCATTAATATCTACAGTAAGGAACTAGACAGTTTCAACTTATTCAGTCTAGCTTATTTTCTTTCTTCAAATTGCTATCATTATTTTCCCTGAAGACGAAAGTTACAGCTTTCAATTCAATTGACATGGGATTACAAGTAACGGTGAGGACAATTTGACTAGCTAACCTACACTGTGCTTACTCTGGTTCAGGCACTGCTTGTAGTACACTTACCATACTACATCATTTAATCTTTACAATAATTCTATGAAGTAGAAACTATTATCATTGTCTTTATTTTACAGATAGCATAGAGAAATACAACAATTTCTAATAATCCATAAGTACCAAGACTCAGGTCTGGGCAGTCATCACTAAATGACGATCTAAACCAGTACTTCTAGAGCGTCATCATGACCCAAACCACTTCATGATCTTATTAAAGACCAGAACCGGTGGGTTTGGATGGCGTGTGGGATTCTGCTTCCAGCAGAACTAGCTGGTTTTTAAAACGATTCTGAGCTAGCTATTGCTGGTTGAGGCAGCACAGAGGGAGGAGAGGGGTGCCCATCTCCACTACACTGCCACAGATTCAGTTATTCTAGAAATAAACATGGTGGACAGAAAAACACTTTCCTAGCATATGTTTGACCTTGTTATTTTAAATAATCCTGAAGTTGAAAACTAATTTTGCTGAATATTTCTACTTCTTTATAAAACTCCATAGTTAGTCTGCCTGGCTTTTCTGTTTGGAAAGAGGAGAATCCGGGTGGCAGGATTTGGGTCATCACTAGCTGTCCCCTCCGAGACCACGTCAAGATGCAGGAATCCAGTCAAACGCAAACGGACACCGTATCCCAATAAACCGCCTGAGCAGCAGTAACAGACACTGAATCACTCTCACAGTTACTTCCCTGGAAAACTGTCCTAAGTTTTTAGAGAAAAGGTGCTAATGAGTATCCTTTGGTAAAGAAGGAATGGAAATGAACTGTCTTAAATTAGTAATATTAGAAATACACTGACAGAATTCTAGAACGTGTGAAACAGAGGATTCATTTTACCTTAAGCCTCAAACTTGCCTCTTTAGTAACTTTTCTTGAGGAATGCAACTGCTAGCAAAGTAGCAAAATATTAACTACTAAATCTAACAAGGAATGCAACAAAATTCTACATTTTATGTGAACTCCCTATAAATCACTACATGCTTGCCAAAAAAGGCTAACTAAAAGTGAGATATTCCAATAGCTGTGTGGGGGAGCAGAGTCAAGAGTATAGCAAATATCACTGGAGTTCAGCTAGACAAAATTACTTATTGGTAATACATGACAACGGTTAGGCCTCTAAAAGGCAGAATATTCTACATTTGCAAGTTTCTCAGTAGAATGTGAGAGCCCTACTGCTAAGGATTTGGATTCTTTAAAATATCTGCATGCAACGTTTGGTCAGCAGATGGAGTTCTTCTGTCTCACTGGGCAGAGATCAATAATGCAGCCCCAGTAACACACCAAAGACAAGACAACACTCATTCATAACATTTCAAAACATGCACAACTGACCCCAAACATTGAAAAACAAAGATACCTTCATTTTTGTCAGGAGATGATGAACCTAAAGTGCAGAACAAGAACTCAGTATGTGGCTTGTCTTTTTAAGGTTAGTTTTGTCTACCCACTGATTGATTTCCCAATAAAATAACACGTAGAACACAGGTTCCCACTGCGGCACACAGGAGACTGGGAGGCAATACATACGCTGTGACTGAGACACCATCTTCGTCCGGCTTCGGCCTCTAGAGTCCGTCTTGGCATTTCCCATCCCAGTAAGTGGCGCTGAAAGCTTTGCTCTCACTCGGCCTAAAAAAAGAAAAATATTTATATAAATCAAGCCATTCTCCTTTATAATAAGATTTAGTTGTGGGTGGAAAACATTTACAAAACATTTTGAAATTCTCTAATAATATATTAGTCAGGTAAAGGTTACTTTTTTTTTTTTTTTTAAAGCTGAGGCCAGCATGATGATGTAGTAGGTTGAGGTCTCTGCCTGCCATAACCAGTGTCCCTTACGGACATTGGTTCAAGTTCTGGATGCTCTGCTTCCCATCCAGCTCCCTGCTTGTGGCCTGGGAAAGCAGCAGAGGATGGCTCAGGTCATTAGGCAATGCAGCCATGTGGGAGACTCAGGAGAAACTCATGGCTCCTTGCTTCAGATTGGCCCAGTTCTGGCACTACTGGCTATTTTTGGAGTTCACAAACAGGTGGAAGATCTCTCTCTCTCTCTGTTTTTCTCCTTTGTAAATCTGTCTTTCAATCAAAACTAAAATAATCTTTTTAAAAACTAAATATACACTGATTCTATGTGTGGTTTTGTAAGCTATCTTTTTCCCTAAGGGTAAGAACAGAGTAAAGCTAAAATATTTCATTCTTATTAATCTAATAGCTATAATAAAGATAACATAGGCACATCACTTGCTTTTAAATTGATAGTTCCAGTTCTAAAATTTAGTTTCAAAGAAATTGAAATTATTCTTAAATCTATCCTATTTTTTTAAAAAAGATTTATTTATTTTTATTGGAAAGGCAGGTATACAGAGAGGAGGACAGAGAGGAAGATCTTCCATCCACTAGTCTACTCCCCAAGTGGCTGCAACGGCTGGAGCTGAGCCATTCTGAAGTCAGGAACCAGGAGCTCTTCCAGGTCTCCCACGTGGGTGCAGGGTCCCAAGGCTTTGGGCTGTCCTCAATTGCTTTCCCAGGCCACAAGCAGGGAACTGGAAGGGAAGCAGGGCTGCTGGAATTAGAACCAATGACCATATGGGATCCCGTTGCGTCAAAGGCAAGGATTTAACCACTACAGTATCACGCCAGGCCACTATCCTACAATTTTGACTATAACAATAATCATAGAAACAACAATTCAAATACTCCTTTGACTAAAATGGTACTCCTCAGGACAATGCAGGAATAGCTATTATTAACTCAAATACATATTTTTGTATTGGGGCACTAGCAGTATGATGCTCTCCTCTCCTACCCAATTTCATTTGCAGTATGCCTTGTGCAAATACATAAGTTGGGTTGGCATTTTTCTCATCTATTTCCTGCCCTGTCTTCCAGCTGCACTCCTTTCTTCTCTACCACTGCCCAGCCCCCATCCGTAAACTGAGCCACAAATGTCCTCATCCTACTTCTAGAGCTCTTGAACCAAAGGGGATGCTGATCAAAGTGTTAAGGTGAGCTGCCATCACGAGAAACACCTTGTGACAGAATATATTACCAGCAGGAGCTTTGCTGCCATCAAGAAATAGTCTCAATCAAATTAGAAGCAAAAATACGCATAAAGAAAGGCTTAGATTTCTTTTCAGTTAAAAGTTATAATTTGAAGGGCTAGTTTGAAATGGCCAAATTAATTAGAAAAAAAATATTGAAAAAGCAACTAGAAAGTAAAAACTGAATAAGGAAAAGAACTGTAGGAAGTACAAATTAAACAGAAGCAAAAACCAAAGTATAATTGATAGGGTCCTAAAATTCTACCAAGTTCAAGAACCCTAGTGGTTCAGAATTCTCACCCTCTTACAGAGTTTATTTTGAGTACGAAATACAATGTTTTTATGACTGAGAAGTAAAAGAAGATCAAGTTATAACTTTGGAGATAAAAAGATTTATATACATTCTATATTAAAAATTACACTATTTCAAGTATATTTATATTAGCATTTTAAATTATAATGCCACCTACCAGCAATTTTTAAATACAGGATTCTAACATAAAATACAAACTTATGTAGAATATGCTAAGTGTAAATACGAAATCAAAAATCTCAATTTTAAATATACTTGGTTTTGTATCACACTCAAAATGTCATTCATGTAAAACTTGGGCCCAAAAAGGTGCTTTAAATCAGAAATTAAGAAGATAGTTTGTAGCCAGAAAAAATATAGAGATTAATTCTTTTTCCCTTCTTGAAAGCAATAAGGAATTATTTTTGAAGTATATTAGTTCAGTAAAACAAAATTCTACTGTAATTTCAAATTCAATCTGATTCAGTAACTAAAGGTACATTTCAAAGCAGGTGAAATAAACACATTTGAATTGCACTGAAAGCCCAATGATAAAGCAATGAGGATGCATGTTGCCACAAAGCATAAATGAACTGGCATTGAAAAACAAAAACACAAAAATAAAAGCATTAATGTCATTACTGGAAACAAATGAACCATATTAACTCTGTACTAAATATTATTGGCTAAGCATTAGGTTTTCCAACATGAGATGATTCAGAATCTAAAGCAAAACTTCAAGCTGAACAATTAAAAAAATCCATACAGATAAGTAATACAATCAAATATGAAATGTAAAAGCTATCACAATGGCAAATTATAAGGATTTGCAATGAAATTAGTTGGTTTTAGTTTTTAATTCCTACCAATGAAAACAGTAACATAAATGTACTTGTATTGCTAACAAAATGTACATTCTTACCATCCTCAGATGCTGTTCCTATATAAGAGAAATAAAACAGTATTTCAACAAGGTCTGTCAATATTGAAGTTAGAACCTATCTTACAATCCCCATACAAAGCTAAAATGAACAGGTGAAATACTTCCAGATAGTTTTAAAATGTAGGCCGAGGGTAGGTGGCCCAGCAGCTAACAGCGCACGCGGGTCATCTGGCATCCCATGCATCCTGCCCCTGAGTGCTAGCTCCACTCTGTTCCAGCTTCCTGCTAACATGGGATCTCATCCTGTAGGTGACGGATTAAGCTGCTGAGTCTATCCCCCTCACACGGGAGATGTCAACTGAGTTCCTGGCCTCTGGCTTTGCCCAGACTCAGCCAGTACTTGAATATTTGTATTTTCTTTAAATACAGATCTGAGTATCAGTTACAAGAATGCATTATAAAGTGGGTGACTGCTCAACAACATGGAAACTTTTTACCCAAGCAACAAAATATTTGATCTGAAAAGTTAAAAACAAAATGTTTAAACCAGTTCTAAGATATTAGTGTCAGAAGGAATAACAAAAGGTCCAATCTGTCGAAACCATTCCAATGCTGTTTTCATTCAGCATGTTTTTTTTTTTATTTATGAAATGCTGAACCATATACAAAAGCTGAGACCACTGTATTCAAAACAAGATTCAGTGTTTCCATTAAAACAGAGGATATTTAAGATCAGTTTTTGGGGTGTCAGTAATAATTAACCAAGTACACGTCAACACCATTTTCCAAGGGCTCATATAATATGATTTAGGAATTTAACATCTTGTTTTACGTTATCTGAAAAGGCTGGGGTTGTGTTGAAGCAAGTGAAGCTGTTACTGCAACCAACTGAGTGCTGGTTTGAGTTCTAGGCTCCAGGCTCGAGCCGGGCCCAGCACGGCTGTTGTGGCCAACTGAGCGAGTGAATCAGAATACAAAAGATGACTTAATGTTTCTCTCTCTCTTTTCTCAAGTTTCAGACTGTGTCTTTTAAATAAACAAAAAAAAAATTTTTTTAAAAAAAGCTCAAGTTTCTATGAACATTACGGCATTAGATGAAGTAAGGGAAAGTACTGGTAATATACTGACCACTGTTTCAGGTAAAAAAACATCATACAGGGTTGCTATGGATACAACAGATAAAACTGTAATCATACCAACACTGAAATTAAAAAGGCAGCACTTAAAATAAGTTCAGTTTTAATGAAATGTCAGTTTAAAAACCCACCATATAAAGACACTGTAACCTGCATCTAATTTTCATAAGTGATCATCTGCACTTGTGAAATGTTCTTTTTCATTTTGTATAACAGAGTTAACTAAAGAGTTAAACCAAATGATTTGGAGATTCCTTTTCATTCTTCTGCACCCAATTTTAGAGAAAGACTTAAGAAACTCAGCATATATTCAGAGGCATACCTCTATGATTTAACCAGGGAATCATATAGCTATTTTCATACTAGGATTGTTGCTAAATAAATAATATGGCTTCTGAAATTAAGAAAAGAATGAACAAAGATACTCTACAGAATCCAAGAACCATAAAAACTGTACAAATTGGAAAGGGAAGTTCTTACCATCCATCTTGTCGGAAGTATCCTCTTTGATGAAAGGGTAAGCAAGCAAGAGAGGAAAACTTAGTATATTAGAAAAAAGACTTTGCCATTCCTGGAAAACATTGCTTTAATGACAGACTCTAAAGTGCAGATATAAATATGAAGATCTTTTTCAACTAAAACACATGATATTAAACAAAAGCAGATCCTTGCATGCTAAGACCACACTTAACAGGTTAAACAGACTAAAAGCCAACAATAAGCAATTTTCAATAATGTAGAGAAAGAGAAGTAAGGTCCCATCCTACACTTTTGCCATTGTCTGGTGAATCCCCTCTTTGCGCTGCTGAGTTTCTGCCTGATAGTTCTCCTTGGGTTTTCCTTCTTCCTCTTTAGCTTATGCTGTATGCTCAAATCCCACACCATGGCTGGTTATCCATTGTGCTTCTGCACCCTATCCTTTCTTAGCACTTTTACTCCTTAAACTCTCTTTACCACTCATGGGGTCCCGATTGAAAAACTATTTAGCCATGAAATCATATTACTGGCTCTGCTAAAGAGGAGGATAAGATAGTGCCTGTGCTGGACAGCAGGAGCATGGCTGGACAGGGCTAGCTCTGTGGGTGCAGCTGAACCTACAGTGTCAGCATCCCACACTGGAATCCCAGTGCTCTGCTTCGGATCCAGCTCCCTGCTAATGCGGCTGGGAAAGCAGGGGGTGTTGGCCTAAGTATTTAGATCCATATCACCCACACAGAAGACCAGGATGGCAGTCCTAGCTCCTGGCTTCAACCTGGTCCAGCCACAGATTCAACTAGTAGAGCCATTTGAGGAGTGAACCAGCAGTGGAAGAGCAGTCTCATGACCCTCCAGGACATCGCATCCCCTTCTGACTCAGCTGTGTGTCCCTTCACTCTAATAAACCTTAGCCATGAGTGCAGCTGCCTCTGAGTCCTGCAACCAAGTCCCCAAACACGTGCCTAGCAAGGAGGAGCCCAAAGAGCATCCCACTTGAAGGCTAGTCGAAACCTCAAGCCACCCCTTACAAATGATTGTGACTCTGAATAAGAATTCACAGACAATCACAATTTCTTGATCACATGTCTCTTAATACTAACACCATCAAAACATATCTGAATTTGTCATGTCCTTGCATTTCTTTCCCTTGAACCTCCATGGAATTGGTGATGTGTCCACACCCACGGCTTACCTCTCAGCAATGCTCTGTATATCTCACGGCGCATGCATCTACAGGCCTTTGGCCATGAATGACCTTTCCTGATCCTTTCATTTCTAGCTTTCCCTTCTCCACTAATAACTACCTTAGTATACAAACATGTTTAACTGTTCTTAAAATAATATTTGTGAGTTTGGTGTGTTAGCATAGTAAGCTAATTCTCTACCATATGGGTGCTGATTTTTGTTCCAGCTGCTCTATTTTTGATCCAACTTCCTGCTAATGGCCTGGGAAAGCAGCAGGGGATGGCCCAGGTCCTTGGGCCCCTTCATCCATGTGGGAGACCTAGAAGAAGCTCCTGACTTCTAGCTCCAGAACAGCTCTGGAGTGAATCAGTGGATGTGAGATCTCTGTCTTTCCTCTCTCTCAGTAATTCTGACTTTCAAGCAAAATCAATCAATCTTAAAATCAAAATAATATTCATCTTCCAACTTGTTCCTCAACCAACTGAAATCTGACTTGTACATAATAAAACCCCACTGAAACCATTTATTTTCATAACGGCAATTGTATAAACTCAATTAAGAATAAAATACTCATAAATATGTATGCATATATGCAGGCTTCTTTAACATAAATTATTTACTGTAGCACAACATCAAGTTTTTTTCTCAGGTTGAAATTAAAAGGCAAACATGACAACATTTCAGCTATTCCTGCTCCCAAACGCAGCACTTCAAGGACAGCAGAAACAAATCAGCAGAACTGCTTTAAGGAACACGCTGTGTTTAACAAGTAAGGACAATCTGTAATGAGTTCAATGTCAGCTCCACCATAGCCTGCCTTCCGTCTACCTGCCTGCAGAGCTGCTGTCTCCTGGCCTCTGCATTACTCTATTTCTCTCTCTCTCCTAAATTCTTCTAACTTGAGTCCTCATAGGGACTTCAAACTCAAAATGCATCAGATACAAACTCTTCCAGCAGCTCCTCCCTTAGTAATCTACCAAGAGATTAAAAGAGCGAGCACACAAAGGCGACACTTGTGCTATCTGGTCCACAGCAGAATGCCTCCCTGGGAGAGAGTGGGAGGCTCGCTCTGACTCACACACATGCCATGTGAGAGCCAAAGGGGAAGGAAAAGAGTAGCACACCACATGCACGTACAAGTACTTAAAAACACTGCAAGAACATGCAGTTAAGAGATAAGTTGGGGCAAGGATTTGATGCGGTGGTTAGCATCCTGCACACTGCAGTCTTTTCCTTAAAGATCCAGCACCACTTCCAATCTACCTTCCTGCTAACTCTGGTAGGCAGTGGTTAGGATTAGCCCTAACCCTAACCTGAAAAAATACGGTTGTCACTTTATTAAAATATTCTAAGTGTTCTTTATGTTATAAAGGATACAAGTCCTTAACTGGGTACATGTTTTGAAAATATTTTGAGGGTTCACTTTTTCACTTTCTTGATGGTGTCTTTTGAAGTACCCAAGTTTTTAACTTTAATGAAGCCCTATGTATCTTTTTTTCTCCATTATGTGCATCTTTGGCATCATATAAGAAACCGCTGCCTAATTCAAGGTCAAACAAGTTTCTTTCTAAACTAAGACTGTTATAGTGTTCGATCTTAAATCATGAGCTTGTGATGCAGGGGTCCAAATTAACTCTTTTGCATCCAGTTTTTCCAGCACCATTTGCTGAAAAGGCAATTCGTTTTGTATTTGGTAGTCTTGACATTCCTGCTGAAAATCAACGGTTCATAAAGGTGTGGGTTTATTTCTGGACTCTCATTTTATTCCACTGGCTTATGTGTAGCATTAGCAACATGCAGATTACATTACTGTAACTTTGAAGGAAGTTTTCAATTGGCAGGTATTGAGTCCTCCGGCTAAGTTCTTCACTTTTCAAGTACATTTCAGCTCATCTGGGTCATCAGTAGTTTCATGCACAATGTCAACTAATGCACACAGGCACCCAGAAGGGACTGCATTGAACATACAGATGTGGCACCAAAACGGTATTAATCTATAAACCTGCAGTGTCTTTCTATTTACTTTCCTCTAAGAATGTAAAAGATGGAATTTCAATGAAACTGTTAAATATGTCTTGACAACAGATTAGACTTTCTATCATTGTTTATACTTACAACGTTACAACACACCTCAATAGTAGAATGATGGACTTGTTACTGTTGCTGAAGGATTATACTATTGTGATATTCTGGGGGAGTCAGGAGGAGAGTGCTGGGGGAAATCCCTGAGCCTAAGCAACTGTGTCACAAAAAGTGAAAAATAAAATTAATACAAAAGAATAATGTAGTTTTTAGTGTACAAGTCTTAAAAAAAATCTTTTGAGGTAATTCCCAAATATTTTATTCTTTTTTGATGCTATTATAATTTTTCCTTAGTTTCAATTTAAGTTGTTTATTGCTAATGTCCACAGATGTAACTAGCCTCTGATTGTTTGCTTTTATGCTTAGCAATTTCTTCCCCAATTTAAGATTACATGAATATGTAGCTATGTGTTCATCAAGTTGTTTTTGTTAAATATCTTAGTCTTTTAAAATACAATTTTATATGGTGTGTAAATGTTTTAATTTAATTTTATATCAAGTGTCTAAACATCATTTCCTGAATAATCTATCCTTTTATGCATCTACGCTTTATCAAGTAACACACTCAAACCTAAAATCTGTGTCCCACAGATCTCTGTTTTACTCTCGTGCTCTGTCAGTATCACTCAAGCGAAAGAAAAAAGGAGCATGACACAGAAATGAACAATATGATGAAACTATAAACTGAGAGATATAAAAACAGAAAGAAATCAAGCTCCAGTCTCTGGAACATTAAGCTTTGATCAGATACAGAACTTGATGGTTCTCTCGTCGCCCCTAAAGGTTCTTCACTGTTGGTAAAGGAATCTAAGTTAAAGAAAGAAAACGGAGCAGCTAGGTACAAATTCCTCCAGGAAGCACTGGCTGGATGTGGCAGAAATGCAGACAAAAAGATCATAACACAAGTCATGGAGTCAGGTTACTTCTGTGATCATGAGGACTGTGAGAACATGGGAAAAAGGAACCCAGAGTGGCTCAGATACCACACCTCTGAGCTGTGTCCCCAGGATGGAAAAATGTTCATTCACAGGGACCGTTTTCAGGAGGAATGAAGGAGAATGATTAAGATCGGTCATCTTGTCTTGGCCGAGGCCAAGGAGAGCCCAGCTCCATGGGGGCCAATCTAGATGTCTTACCTAGGGACGCATAGGAGCCTGGATTCAGGGCACCTGCCCCGAGCCGTCCACTTCGCACAGACTGCCCCGAAGCATGATGCGCCTTGGCGCCAGCAGCGGCATTCACATCAATGTCACTTCGGGAACGCTGCAGACTGCCTGGGAGTGAACTGGCTTTGCTGCTACCTGCTGACACTAGGGAAAATAAGCAAAATGAATCTTTACTACGTAAGTCCCTGAAACAACGTGAAAATTATATACGCCTAAACCGTTCCGCAGTAATTTACAACAGCACGCTCAGTAAGGAAGCAGTGACCGAATGAACAACTAAGCCTGCCTGAGCAAATCTCGGTATGTCTGTGCCGATTTTTCGGACTAGAAATTCATAACTAATTCATAAACAAAAGGGAGAGTTTTGACTGATTTTTGAAAATGAAGCGTAGCAGAGGATAAACAGAAGGCAACATCCTTATTTTTTACTTTTAAAAAATGCCAAGAAAAGCTAGATCAGGAATGAGGGTATTCAGATACTCTCCTGTTGCTCTCAGGCAGTGCAAATTAAGTCATTAAATAACTGCTCCTAAGTTGTTGGCTTTTATAAAGCTCATGAGGTTCATAAACTGTTGTCACAATCCATAAATAGGCCTTGGAACCAACTGGGTTTGTAAGGACCGGCATTTAGAGAAGGGAAGACTACAAACCACTACCATCAGCAATGGCAGGTGGCACTTCACAGAACTCTGGCTCACACTTCGCATGTATGCACGGTGTGTTCAGGGGTAGAGTGCGCATGTGTGCTATTGAATGACCACAGCAAATTATTTTCTTACTGTGGATCACTTCAAAACAGTTTCAAAGCTACTGCATTAGATATGCAATGGGCTATAATTCTTATTTACAAAGGCAATTACCTCTTCCAGCCACCGCTGAGGGATTTGCTGTAGACCATTTGGAAGAAAAAGGGCGACTGTAAGGCACAAAGAAGACAATTTTTACAATTTGCCATCCTCAGACAACGACCAATGAAACACTAATGAATTTTCTGAAAAGCTGAGGACCTTCTAATTTTAACTTCATTTTTCACATATCTTGTTAGAATAGTTTTCAAACCTATGTACGGTATCAAGTATCAGTGGTGTCTCCATTAGCCTTGAAACACAGCTAAATACCTGGCAATGAGTCAGGTCTGGTAGCTCTACAGATAGAGGCCAGGTAACTCCAGTCCACTGTGGACCTCAGCCCACAATACAGCATCCACCACAAAGCACTCACTGATAGCATTCTCAACCCCCAGCGTTTCCTAAAACACTTCACTTTGAGGGAGAAAGAGGTGATGTTATTACCAGCACTCACAGGCAGCTGAGCCCAGCCAAAGTCTTTCCCAACAAAGCAATAATGATGTGGCCACTGTCAGTCCACGCAGGTGTCAGGTAAGCAGCATACTCCCTACACACAGTGCTGCTGACTGTCAGTGTGCCGGACAATGAAACAACACTAGGAAGTACAGCTGAGGACGATACAGATGATTAAGGAATGATGCTAGTAAAACATCTCTAATCGTCTTAGAGCACCCAGCATCTCTTAACAACCGTATCTATCTTCTAATTACATTTTGAGGCCCATTATGAAATAAAGCATCTGAGTATGTAGTAGAGATATAGAAAGGACAGAGCCATTCGTAAGTTTTGAATGGAGTGAAAGGGAGAGATTCAGAACTTCCAAACAGGGTAAAGCCAGCCTATAGAAATCCTCTGTAAATTATGTATGATAACTTGGGCAGATATTTTTTGGGGGGTGAGGTACTGTTGGAAATATTATATTGCATAAGCAGAGAAGATTTAAAAAAAAAAAGATTTATTTTATTTATATGAAAGAGAGAGAAACAGAGATAAAAGAGTTATTTTATTTGCTGGTTCACTCCCCAAATTGTCAATAGCTGGGCCTGTGCCAGGTAGGAGGCAGGAGCCTGGAATTCCATGTGGGACACTTGGGCCATCTTTTTCTGCTTTCCCAGGTCTATCAGCAGGGACCTGATCAAACATGGCACACATATGAGATGACAGCACTGCAGGCGGTGGCTTAACTCATGTCCACAATGCTGGTCCCAGCAGTGGCTATTAAGTCCGACACAGTATCATTTTTAGACCTTTCTCCTAAAGCAATTATTCTCTCAGACTGAAGCAGCTCACACTAAGGTTTACTGAATGAAGGCTGTGTAAAGATATATTAAAGACAAAATATCTTTCTTAGATCTATGACTCAGATATGGTCCACGAACAAACAGCACTGATATTATTTGGAAGCTTGTAAAGAGAGCAGATTTCAGGCCTACCATGGTGCCACTGATGGTGATTCCTTAATTCAACCTCACTTTTTTTAGGTGATTCATATGAACACACTTAATGTCTCAACTTTATAAAAAAGAAAAAAAGCAATCCAGGATAAAAGCGAACAAAGTGAATTTGCGATGAAAGACTCACCACAAGTTTACATAGAAATTTAAACAAGTCATGATTCCTATAATAATTTTTTTTTCTAAAAGATTTAATTATTTACTTGAAAGAGTTACAGAGAGGGAGAGAAAGACACAGAAAGAGACATCCTCCGTCTGCTGGTTCATTCCCAACAGGGCAACAGCTGAAGCTGGAGATGCGCCAGGAGACAGGAAGCTCTTCTGGGTTTCTCATGTGAATGTAGCGGCCCAAATTTCTGAGCCACCTTTTAGTGCTTTCTGAAGCACATGGGCAGGGAGCTGGATTGGAAGCAGAGCAGCTGAGGCTCGAATCAGTAACCTTCATGGGGATCAAGGTTGCAAACAGAAAATATCAGAGAAGTAAAATGGCATGGTGACGACTGTGATTTGGCCTTCTCTGGGAAAATCCTGAGACAAATGGCCATAAAAAAGGGCAGATGGCCATTTCTAAGGAGCAAAAAAGGCATCAAAGATTTTAGAAATTGTACTGATATAGAGAGACAAAGGGGCTACAACATCAAAGCAGTAAGGATGCATACGGAGTTACAGAAAAGTGAGGTCCTACGAACAATTTCCAGAAATGTCATGCCATATAAGCAGAGGACATTTTGTTTTTAAAGTTTTATTTTACTTATATGAAAGGCAGAGCTACAGAGATACTGGGAGAGACAGACAGGTAAATAGACAGATACACAGAGACTGATCTCCTATGTACTGACTCAATGGCTGGGGCTGGGACAGGCAGAGGCTAGGAACCAAGAATTCCATGTGGGTTTCTCATGGTGTGCAGGCCCAAGGACTTTAGCCATCTTCCACTGCTTTACCAGATGCATTAACAGGGAGCTGGAGCAGAACTGGAGCAGCTGGAATAAACTGGGCTCCGTATGGAATGCCAACGTCACAAGCTGTAGCTTAGCATGTTGCACCACAGCACCTGCTCCAGCATTGGTAAATTTTTTTTTAACCAGCTGCACAGTATTTAATTCTGAAAATGACTTCTGAATCTGTATTACAGTTCATCCATTTTAATAGCTTGGAAATGGTCTACCTATCTATAAACTACTTATGCAGTATTAAAAAAAATGCATATTACTCAGTGCTTTCCCAACTTTCTCAAACATGAATACACAGAAACAAATCATGACTCACTGCACTCTTTAGTCAAAGACTGTTAAGTTATGTTAGCGTGAATCCAGCCCACGACACAACAGACCAAACAAAGTAAGCATGTTGAGTTCTCCACTGTTTTCAGATTTTTCACGGAAACAGGAAGATACTCAACCAGCCCACTGACGCTGGGGAAGAACTCGGTAACTGCTATTTATTATCCTTACTTGAGACTTTCTTGCGAGCTAGACGAAGACCTGTCCGATTGTGGAAGAGAAGCTACACTGCCAGAACTCTTTAAGTAGGTCTGAAGACTCTTTTGGTAAGATGGCTCAAGGGAATTATATAACGTTTCAGCTTCACCAGGAAAGTGGTTTCTAAGACCCATATATGTCCTGCAAAAGAAAGAGGTAAGTTAAAGCACCTAAAGAAAAAGTTTGGCACATTGAAACAGTAACAGCAAATGTATACATTCAAGAATAGGTTTTTAACATCCACGAGGTGTCAGTTCAATACTTATTAACTTTACCAGACCTTGGAAAAAAGCAGATAACAGTTTAAAACCTGGCTATGCCACTTATGGATTATGGAACCTTGGGTAAACCCACAAATCTCCAAATTCTGGATGCCATGTTTGGAGCTAGCTTCACCTCTCTAGGGCCATTTCACCATTCAAAACTAATGTATGCCAAGTCCCTCAAACAGTATCATGTCCACAAGATATGCTCAAAAAAACCACAGTTCTTTGTATTCCCAATAAAAGGGAATTAGTTATGATGTGATCGGAATACTGATGACTACACAAACAACGATTTGAAGCACACCATTAGATGTCTAGTATTTAACGGAGAAAAATCAATCTCAATTTTATTGAGGGGTTAATCAAATAGAATACAGGCTCCCAATTCGATTTCATTTTAAAAGAGATCAAAGCATATATACATGTGTATACACACACACATATGTATCTCCAAACTGTTAACAAAAACCCACCAGGACTTACTTTCTTGCCTCCACTCTGGCCTCAGCATCAGCATCGTGAATTCCCTTTTTAATAGTTTCAACCAAGACAGCTGCATGTCTACAATATAAACACATTGTTAGATTCACACATAGCGCTGTGTATTTTACCATAATTAAAATTAACCATTTATATGCCACATATCAATCACAAAGCAGGAGGGGAAATAAAAAGGTTAGTGGAAATAATAAATCTAAGATGGACAGATTTTCTAATCACCTCCCCCACATATGTCACTCATGTAAGGCCTCCTGATACTCCAATCACCATAAATCATCACTATTATTTTTTATCATCACTATTACCTTTTAAGATCCACTTATATATTTGAGAGGGAAAGGCAGAGAGAGAGTGAGATATTTCATCTGCTCATTCATTGCTCAAATTGCTTCAATGGCTGGAGCTAGCCAGGCCAGTGACAGGAGTCAGGAGCCTTTTCCAGGTCTCCACATGGCTGCAGGGCCACCTTTTACTGCTTTCTCAGGCACATTAGCAGGGAACTGGATTGGAAGTAAAGTAGCCAGGACTAAAACTGGTGCCCACATGGGATGCCAACACTGGCTTACCTTCCCCTGTCACCTTTCTTTCTTTAAACCAAGAAAATCTCTTTACTCTAAAGGGCTAACTTCTTCCTTCCCTCTACCTGAAATTATTATATGACTCACTGCACTCCAGGGAATCTATTTCACAGGACTAGAGATGTATTTTAAAATGTCTGCCCAACCCAACTTGCAGCATGCTACCTAACCCATTCTACTAAAGAGACCCTCACTAATTCTATCAAGAAGAAAGTCAATTACCCATAGGTGCCGTAAGAAAGAGGATCACAACAATACAGCTTCAAAGGAAAACCAGCAGGAATAACACTTATGGCCAAACGAAAAATAAGAAAATACCAAGATTAGCAGCCTCTCAAAAGCTGGTGGGCGTCAGAGGGAGGGGAAGGCGAGGCCACGCGTACCTTTCTAAGGAATGAGTCTGCCACTCTTGCAGCAATAAGTCTAAAAATTCAAATGAACGCCTGAAAAATAAAAGCCAACTCTAATTAAATGTTGAATCAACAAATATATTAACCCTTTCAAAATGGTGTACTCTGTTCCCCGAACTAAAGTATAGGAATCCCTTTTAGATATTTTAATTGTGGAATACTTGACTCACTTTAAGGATCCAAGTGTTCCTATGCTAAGTGATTCATAAGGATCTTAAGAGCGCCACGTAATTATAACTTAAACCGTTTGTCATGTACCAAATATCAGAAATTTTATTTTAAAAACTATTCACTCAGCATCTACTGAGCACTAGGCATGAAGAACTACACGGTGAATGAGAAAGAGATGACAGCCTGGATCATTCACGTCTACATTTGATTTCCTTAAATGAAGTTCACACATATTTTCTCCTGTATCTGCCAGTTCTCAGCTTCTTTAACTGCCGGAGTTTTCTTGCTTGGCATCGAGGACATATCTGAGTCTTATTTCTTCTTCCCTTTTTTAACGTGCTTTTCTCCACCTAATTCTTACACTGGTATTTATCTGGTTGGTACCAATCTTTGTCTATTTCTCTTTTTATTTCGGCAACATCATCTGCGCCCTTTGTTCCAATTACCAGACACAATTCTCACATCTAGTCTTGTATCTCCAATGTGGGTTCTTCACTTGAGTTGTTACATCAAAGTTTCAACTTGCTTAAACAGCATCTCCATGTAAGTAGTGAATAAGCACTCAAACATAACATACCAAACAATTAAGTCTTACCACTCTTTGGCCCACATTACTCAGGTTAGAAAATGAAAAAAAGGGAGTTTGAATTAACTTGCCCGAAGTGACACAGCTGGACTTGGACCCTTGCTCTGATTCCATCCATCATTCGTGTCTCATTTTTCACAAATAAACCCTGCCTTTCAGCCACTTAACAAAATCTCCTTCAAACAATGACCACTAGTATATCCTAGCCTCTTCCTTATCTAAATTACAACAATTACACCATTCCTTTGCTCAGTGCTCATAGTTGGAATAAAAACTTCACTGGAAGAGATCCATCATGTCTGAGCTCACAGAAAATCTGCAATTGTCAGAAGACTCAAGGAACAAAGTCAGAATTCTTCATGAGATTCAAAGGCCTCCACATTTCCATTTCAATGTTCTTTTCATCCAGCTACCCGCCTCTTTCCCCACAGAAACCTCCTAGACTTCCCATGTGTTCCAGCCCAGGGGTCTAATCAGTTGGCTCCATAGCAGGTGGCATAGCTTTAAACTTCTGCTCAGGCTGTATCCTGCCTGTCATAGAGGACAGATTGCTTCTTGTTTTCAAGCAATTCTACAATAAATTTTCAGATTCCCTCTGTCATTTTCCTGCTTCTCTAACATTTAAAAAAAAAATCAATGCAAAACCTTTTCTGTAAAGAACCATTAATACTTTAGATTGTGTCCATTCATATATAAGTTCTGACATCTTATGCTTCTTCCCCATCCACCCTTTTTTTAAACTTTCCTTTAAAAATCTAACAAATATTCCTAGCTTGTATGTTTTACAGAACCAGGTTACTGGTCAGATTTGAGCTGTGAGCTCTTGTCTGCCAATCTCTGACATAGGAAGAGCTAAGGAAAGAACCACGTCCAAACTCTGAACCCCTTAAAGGACTGTCTTATTCTGCTTCTTCCTAACTCCCTAAACTTAAGATATTTAAACAAGCTTATTTTTCCTTTGATCAGAAGGGAAAAGAGTTTTTTAAATGTTTCTTTTTTTTTTTTGTTCAAGATGTATTTTTATTTAGAAGAGTTACAGAGAGAAGGCAGAGTTACGGAGAGGACAAAGCGAGAGCAAGAAAGAATTGTCCATCTGCTGGTTCGCGCCCCATGAGCCACAATAGCCAATCCGAAGTCAATCCAAAACCAGGGAGCCAATAGCCTCCTAAAGTCTCCCAAATGGGTCAGCGATCCAAGGACTTGAGCCATCCTCTCTTGCTTTCCTAGGCCAGAAGTAGGAAGCTAGATCAGAAGTGGAGCAGCTGGGACTTGAATTGGCGTCCATATGGAAGGCTGGCACTGCAGGCAGAAGCCAATCCTACTACTCCATGTTGTAAGTTTCTGAAACATCAAATGTGCTAATCTTGTTTTCCTGTCTTTATTATCAATGGTGAGAGTGGTGATACTAGACATTGTGGAAATCATAAAAAGAGACAGACAGAAATTGTATCATGGCGAGGACTGATGACTGGCAGATCTGATTTATTTATTTGGTCCATGCCAGATAGCAAACTAAGTTTTACTAATGTGTGTCTCATTTAATTCTTAATCCCATGAGTCTGTCAACACTGTCTTAGTCTGAGGTTCAGGTAGGATATTCAGACAATGACAGCTGCAGGACTGTGGCCCAGGTTTGATTCTATGCTCTCTCCACACCAAGGCAACCAAGGTCTCCAGAGGTCTGAAAGCCAAAGCTTGCTACGACAAAACAGAAATGCAGGTGGTCATAATTCCTCCCTCCATGTTTAATTATAGGAGATACAGGAATTTTTTCATTATGTTTTTTTCAGAGGGTAAGAAATTAATGACAACCATTTTTTTAATACCAGTTAAACACAATTCAATATCAAAGTCATCCACCCTGCTCCCCCTCAATGTTTTAGGGGTGCGAGACAAGTCTTACCTCCTCACAGGAACTGATTTTGATGTGCAATTGCTTGTTATTAAAGGTATGAGTCTGGGTACGTGAGTATGCTGAAAAAGATGTTTTGGAAAGGATGAGAAACACCCTGTAATGCAGGTACTCTTCTATTTGCCAAATTAGAACAGGATAAAAACACTTCAAAACTCAGAATCTGAAAGAAATTATGACTACTGTTGAAATGTTTTTTTCAAATTGCAGTACTATTAACAATGACAACATTTCAAAAGGACAGCTGTGGAAGCAGTAAGACATAACAAAAATGAACAAACTAACAGCAAGAAAGTGTGTGGACAGTGGGATTTCGCAGAGGGATACCCCAAAGGGGCCAGGCAAGCACTGAGCGTATTTTATGAATTGCTGATAGAAAAGAAGAATTGCAATGCCATCAAAGAAAATCTATATCCCTAATAATTGGGAATGTATTTTGAAATTTCAGGCAATTTTACAAAGAGCTTTTCATTCTTGCTGAACCATACCTCTCCAGCATCAACTGAGAGTTCAACAGACATAATCTAATTTCTGTTAGTTAACTGTTAGTGAAACAAGACTGAAGTGACACAAGCATAAAATAATAACCTATGCATTCCCATGTGATGGCGTCAAAATCCATTTTCTTTCTAAGCTTATGATAAGGGCTACATTATCTAGGTTAAAATGGAGTGTAGTTTGTAGAATACTTCTTGACAAGTGCCCTTGGGATCAAACCTGAGAAAAGGAAGAAGGAAGTAGGAGTGGGCAGAGGAAGAAATCACACTGAGTAAAGTCAATTGGGCACTCTGGAACTTAAACGGGCCCAAGACGGTCAAACCTGCATATCGCTACATCAGCCACTATCTGAATATGGGCCTTACCGGGAAGAGGCCAGATCAAGGCAGTGGCAGCTCGATTGCTGAGGAGCCAGAAAGTTGCAGTGTTACCAACACTGCTTCTAGTGCTAGGGAAGTAAATGTGTAGACACAGCAGCTCCCTGACCCAGCCAGAAACCACCCCCAGCGATGTAGCTATTAAGATGAAGACTGTGTGTGCAAGCCAGGGACTCACTTGCATTCTGTGTCACAAAACAACCAAAGGATGCATCAATTTTTGGAGACATTGATAAAGTCAGGAAAACAATTTTAAGGGATAAGAGAGTGAATAAAGTTCAACCATCAAGTTTTCAACCTTTATGGGAGGATAAAGTCAAGTCATTTCAAAATACGCAAACAAAACAAAACAAAATAAAACAAAACAAAAAACTCTCCAGAAATGAGAAAACACTAAAGTCATATAAGAATAAGAAGTGCAAGTTTACTAATAAGCACTGGCTAGGAATAAAAGCAGTAAGAAACCAACAAGTAGTTACAACAGCTGAAAACTGCTGTCTCTAGTTTAGCCCAATGGATACTGGGGGAAAAAATGACACAAATGAGAAAAAAGCATACTTTTTCAAAGGCAGGCAGAGAGAGTGAAAAGGTTTCATTCTTGAAGTTGATAAAAGAAATTAAGATATTTTAAATTAAAAGAAGAAGAAGAACAAGAAGAAAAAAGAAACAGGTTAAGAAGCACAAGAAGTAAAAGGTAAGAACAGACAGGATGATGAAATTGACAAAATTAGAATCAGCAGATGCCAGTTTTAAAAAAATGAGATAATAAAGAATCTGAATAACAAAAAAAAAGTCAGGCTTCGTGATGAACAAATTAATTGCATACTGCAAATGCTAACAGGTAATCTATAAAACTGATGATCTGCAAGGACAAACCATCAGCTTGATAACACTAAACAACAAAAAACTGTCACAAATTATCTAACAACATTCCACTCAGTTCTCGAAAAAGAAAAGCCAAGAATATGTAAAAAAAAAAAAAAAGTATTTTATTGTAGGAAGTAAAGAATGTTTAAATTAGTTGAGCACAACATGAAACTTTAAAGGTTCTTCAAATCCATCTGAAATTGACACTCTACAAGAACAGAAATAACAAACATTTCAAAGAGATTAAAGATGCCTAGAGTACATTCCAGAAATATTATTAGGCAACTTTGGAACTTATCAGAGCCCAAGTAATAACAAAATATGTAAGACAGAAAAACAAAAAGATGTTCCATAACAGACTCATTCACTAAAGTAAATGCAAAGATCTTAACTAAACTCTAGTCAAATGAATTTAGCTGCATTATAATATTTAATGGCCAAATAGAATATATATGTATAAAATGGGTAAGAGGACAAAAATCAGATAATTAATTCTAAAGTTCCTGAAGCGAATCTGAAAAAGTTCAGCATCTATTCCTGAAAAACATTTTGCAAAATATGAGTAGAAGGAAATTTGTACAGTCCAACATAGAATATCTATAGAAATCCAAATTAAACATCATAAAAGTTAATTATGAACTCATCACACTCAGGAATAAAAGAAAAGTCTCAATAATTCCTACTCTTTTCCAATACTGTTATCAAGATTCTAGATTACAAAGCCCTTTCAAAAATAAAATGGTTTAAACCAGGAAAAAATGACAATCTTCCTAAAGTCACAGATTTTAACATACTGGATTTTTTTTTTTTTTTTTTGCTGGTACAGTGTACTAGAAAAAGATTTAAAAAATTTTTTTAAATAAAAGGATGAGCTGACTGAAGAAACTGAATAAGTATTTACAAAATAGACAGATACTTAAGGAAATTTATTCCATAAACATGGGGGATTTCAATAAAAGACTGCACTATAATTCACCACAGGCAATCAGACCAACTGGTTTCATATGTGGGGAAAATTGAAATTCAATATCTACGCTTCACATGAAAATAAATTCCACTATATTTATACCTAAGAACTTATAAAAAAAAATTACAGGAGTTCTACATGAACATTTTCTTCACAAAATCACAAAAGGAGCAATATTTCAATACACAGAACTTTAAAATTTTGATATGCAAAAGCTAGATTAAATGATTTTTGAAGAAATGACTAACTACAGAAAATGCGTGCAAAATGACACGAGAGACTATCCTTACGACAAATCAAAAGGTGTTAGAAACGAAACTTTTCAAAATGCAGAGTATAAATGGACAAACTATAAAATATAAAAGGGAAAAATAATAATTCAGGAGTGCAAACTGAAATGTAATATTCTATTTATTAAATTTAAGACCTTAAAGAGACTGATAATAGACAATACTGGTAAACCAACAGAAAAAACTGTATAAACACAAGAATGGTGGAAATAATTTAATAGCATTTAAAAGAGTGCACAGTCATGAAAACAAATACATATATAGAAAAGAGACAGACTTGATCAAAGCACGTGAGGTTTAACAAGCAAGTTACAGAATGAAACACTCGCAGGTACATGCACATGCTGATTTACGTAGTAAATATGGGCACAGAATAAAAGTTTGAAAAAGTATATACTAAGCAGTTAGAGTGATGTTATAGAAGGCAAGAATTTATGGAGAGAGATATTTTCTAGGCTGTTATTTTGGGTGTCTGCAAACTATGTACAATGACAAATATTAAGAACTTGCCCTTATTATTATTATTATTATTTTTTAATAAAAGAAAGAGTGAGCAAAGCAAAGGAAGTTTATTAAAATGAGAAAGCTCACTGCAGCAGGGAGAAACCCCCGATCACCTCAACTTGTCACCTTTTATCAGTATTTGTAACATTCACGACTCCAAAGCTCAGGCGCTGTACATACAGACACGTTCTTCCTTGTACAAGCCTGTATAAAGTATAGCCCATATGGAACTATGTTTCCCTAGTAATCTTCTGTATTATAAACATTACAATGACTATGCATTGTTTTAAACTACTAGAAAAATAATCCAAAAGCAATTTTCCTTGGGATTAAAAAACAAACCAACACCGAGCAACACAAAGCGCCAGCGACAGTGTTTTCAGTACGGGTGTCAGGGGAGTGGGCGGACCTACCCGGATGATGAACCTGATTGCTGCACATCCAGAAGTCGCCATGACTTTGGCGCTATTGGGGACAAGATTAAAAAGGGTGGGTACAATGGCTTCAGCGCCATGGTCAAACTTGTTTCCCAAAACTGTTGAGAGATGGCTAGAAAGAGAGAAAAGAAAGAAATTTAACATTAAGTATAGGCAGTATCATATAGTCTTTAGGTATTCACTTACTGAATCAATTTAGGAATTTTTCTCTTAATGAGTTCTAATGGCAGAAAAACAAGAGATGGAATGGAAATTCCAAATATTACTATTCCCTTCCTTTCTTCATCCTTTAACTTGGAAACTGCAGGGTAAAATTGGCATTGTATTCATCTATTTGCATTGTACTTGCAGAAGCCATCTGATTTAACAATAAAATAACTCTAAGCAAATATCAGGTGAAATCATCAACTCTGGTTTCTTGATGATTCATCTTTATTCATCAAGTATTTTCACTTGAAGCACAGTTGTCGTCATCTCGTTCTGAGACTAAAACTAACTCAGTCTTTAATTGTCTGATTTTTAGTTCTAACAATGGCTGCAGCATTAGTACATTTTATATATATATAAAAATATATATATATAGTGTGTGTTATTTAAAATATAAATGTAGGAGAGCATTAGTTCCAAAAAATTCAGGTCCTTGATTCAAATAGGTAATCGGACTTGTGCTAAACCATCCTACCAGTTTTTCACTGTCTAAACTCGCAGGCAAAAGCAGAGAAGTATTCGGTCTAGATGCTGCCATCTTTCTTACGGAATATGAGTCTGACCTGGTAGAAAAGTCACTGTGTGACCATTTCACTGAAAGAACACTAAATCAATGAGTAATCAATTCATTCATACAAAATATTAATTTCACCAAAATTTCACTTACGCTACGGTAATGCAGGCTTCCCGGACCACCTGGGACCTAAGATCCTTGGCTGAAAGCTTCAGCGCCCCATCCAACAAGCGCAAATGCTGGAAAAAGCAGTCATACTGGGCGGCTCCAGCCACCAGCAGTGATCGGATTTTCTTAAGCTGGAAAAAAAGTCATTATTCTTAAAAGGTGATAGTGGGAGGGGGCTATCCAAATTATAATATCCAAACAAAATTAAAAAAAAAAAAACAAAGTCTATAATGTTTCATGATGTTTGTATAATCACATTTGGGTATTTTTAGTAGTATTAAGTATATTTGGTAAATTCATAACCAACGGGCTTTGTGGAGAACATAGATTTAATTAAGAGCATACCAGAAATGTGGAATGTGTAGGAAGTACATTTTCAGGTTTCAGAAGAGTCTCTCATTTTTAAATTATGGTAAAATATCAAATAGCATAAATGTTATCATTTAAGCCATCTCAACACAGACTGGTACAATTCAGTGCAATTAAGCACATCCATGATGTACAACCGTTACCTGCATCTACTAAGGGAACCAACTTTCAAAAATGCAAACATTGGAAATTATTCAGTGCTAAGTAAAAGCACAAAATCAACGCAGCCAAACAATAAACCATCATCACATCCAAGTTAACAGTGTCACATTTCATGGCGGGGAGGGCGGAGGGAAAGGTTTTTAGTTCATAAAGTGAATGGGAAAATGGCATGAAGCGTGTTCACAGTGGCACAGAAAACATTTTTTCGTGGATCTCATAAAAATTAATTCATGGTTAGCAGTTTCTTTTCAATGAACTTTTTGAACCACCTTACTGTCTTAACCACTGTATTTTGATGAATCTCAAATATTTTCCATGTCAACTTCAGAAAGAGTCCAATTACATCAATCAGAACAGATACCCACCATTTGTGCTCACAAACTAAATGTTTATTAGTACACAATTAACACATTCATTTTAGATATTTCCTAAATCTTAAAATACATCTGTAAGTTAAATCAGCTAGATTAAAGATATAAACATTTTTTTAAAAATACCACCACAAATTTTAAGAAGAAGATTTGAAAGACCATATCATTTTTGGGTACATAAGGAAGGGAGAATTAGGACAAACAGAATTTTCTAAAAGGTATCTACATAAAAGCTAACCAAAACCCTAACATGGTAGGAAAAATTACCTGTATCATATAAGACCATACACAATCAATGGCTTTAAAATGAGGAAAAGTTAAAGAATCCCACACTCATTTGGGCATAAATGAACATATGAGATGTGTTTTGCCTTAGCCAGCAAATCTAAATTATACAAGAGAGCTCATCATTTAAAAACTCGATAGCATCTTGTCCACCCAATAAGCAGATGCTCCCAAAACTGCAACCAAGATTATAAAGGATTAAATGTTTTGGCAGTGATCTATTACAATAAAATTTTATCTGGTCTTTATCCAACAATTTCAAAAATCTAACCTACAAAAATAAAAGCACTCTTTATAAACATGTGCAAGAATACGTAACACTGAAAAAAATGGCAAACAAACAAAAACTCCTGCAAATCTACCAAGTGGGAAGTTATTTAATACATTAGTGTACCTAGATATAAAAACTGAAACGTGCATATTGTTTTCCAGTTGATGAACATCTGAGCACCCATTTCCTGCCTGCACTTCTAGCAGGTGCAGTGAGTGGCATGATACGTTAAGTGCAAAGACACGTCAGGTAGTAAGTAACATAGGTAGTTTGATCTCATTTATTTTTAAGATGGGAGCAAAACTGAACTTGTATTGTCAAACACCTCTGAATGCACTTCCATTTATATAAGGTACAATCTAACACAGGACATTTGTTTCCTTCACTAGAATGAAGCTTTAGCTGTTTCAGTCCAATCCTCTGTAAGCCTCTTCCACTTTTCTAAATAATAAATAAGGTCCATCTGCTGCTTCCAAACGGCACCTTCAGAGCCAAAGAAAAACTCTGAGACCATGTTTACTGACATGTGTCATTTTTCTTCACAGATGATGTGTAACAAAGATCTTTCTAGTAAGACACATCTAAGAATAGAAGAATATATAACATAATCGGGACATCCGGAACAACATAGTCTGATAAAAACAAGTATTTCAGTATTTTAAAATACTCAATTTCTTACATACAGAATTTTTAAAAAAATAATCTTTTCTTCATAGTGTCACAAAAGCCCGCTTTTTCAAAAGGCCAGACGTGATCTAATTATTCAAAATGGAGCTTCCTGTGACCATGCAGACGGGGCGCTTTGAGAAGGGAATCATCAAATGGTTCCTTCCCGGGCTGCACCACGACGCGGAGGTACCGAATTGGTGTGCAGAAAACTGCTCAGGGAAGCCTGGCAAACCCTCACTCAGCCTGTGATGACTGCAAGCATAATAATATAAAGTTTGATCAAATATTCTCAAATGATTTAGGTTAAATAAAATATTCTCAGGTATTCGTGACCTTTTTTTGCATTTCATCATGACAGACAAACATTCATCCTATTAATGAAGAAAGAAAAAAGCCAGGTGACTGAATGCACTGTGCAAGCAGTGAGCACACAGGTGAGGCGTTCTGCTTTAACGGCACATGGTGCAACTTAACACGATGCTGCTGAGCAGCTGTGCCACTAGACAGAGGCCAAGGCCTCGAGGCTTGGTCAACACGCAGTGTGTGGACAGAGCCTATCAAGTGGGTACAACGGGCACCATCTGGGCAGTAACGACAGAGCAACACCTGACCCTAACCCAGGGAAACAGGTCATCTTACTTAGCAAGCTCTATTTCACAGGTGAATGCCAAACTGCCATGTTACTGAAAAGGAACACCGAGAGAGAGAAAAAAAAAAAAAGATGTGAAAATAAAAGGTAAACTTACTGCATTGGCACGCTGATCCCAGTCATGCTTGTCATCCGACAAAATTTCCCTGATTTTATTTAACGTTTCTTCAAGTTCTCGACTAGAATAAATCTTCAAGAAGGAATGTAGAAATCAAGGTTACTTTTTAATATGTAAAATAATCTTAAAATTAGTAAGATTATCTCCCATTCTAGAATCAATTTTTAAAATGAACAAGGAAAATACACTAGGGATGAGAACAAAATGTGCTTTTTTTCTTGGTATTCTTTTTGCTATTCCTTCTTTCAATACTTCCTACCCAAGAATAACTTTAATATATTTTCACAATGTTTTGAGGTTTGGGGCTGGTGCCGTGGTACAGTGGGTTCAGCTGCCACGTCTGCCACCAGCTTCCCTGAGGTGCAGGTTCATGTCTGAGCCTTCACTTGACTCAGCTCCCTCATACACCTGCGAAAGTGATGTGAGACTGGCCCCAGTGTCTGGGCTCCAGCCTTCCTGGGGGAGTCCTCGATGGAGTCCTAGGCTTCTAACTCGTACCTGGCCCCGTTCCTGCCTTGCAGTCATTTGGGCAGTAAACTAGCAGATGGAAGATACTGCTCTCTTTCAAATAAATCAATCTTATCTTAAAAACAAGATGCAGAGGCCAGCACTGGTCCAGGGGGTTTAAGCCAACAACAGCGATGCTGGATCCCTAGTGAAGCTGGCTGTTCCACCTTAGAGCGAGTCTGTTACTGCCTGGCAAAGCAGCAGGTGATGGTCCTGGTGCTTGGATCCTGCCACCCATATGGGAGAGTCAGACGGAGTTACGGTTCTCAGCTTCAGCCTGGCCTGAACCAGCCTGTGTGACCATTTGGGGAGTGAATATGCCTCTTGCTTGTTTGTGTACTTCACCTGTCAAATAAATAAATCTTAAAGAAAAAAGCAGGGGCCAGCACCATGGAATGCAGGCTAAGCCTCCACAGTGACTCCAGCACCCAATACAGGCACCAGGTCTACTTCTAGCCTGGGCAAGCAGAGGAAGTTGGCTCAAGTCCCAACTCATGTGTAAGAGCCAGAAGAAGCTCCTGGTTTCTGGCTTTCACCTGGCCAGCTCTGGCTGCTGTGGCCATGTGGGGAGGGAACTGGCAGACAGATTTCCCTGACCCTCCTTCTCATTCTGTAACCCCTGCCTTTTAAATAAATATAAGTAAATTTTAAAACAAAACAAAAACCCAAAACAGAAAATATCGAAGAACTAATAAAGCATAGCTCTAATTTCTCAAAACGATTTTAAGTGTGCTAGTCATTTTACCGCATTCATACACACACTGGCCAAAGGAGATTTCCATTTAGTTTAATCTTGCAGTCATGTGTTTTGTTTCCTCGGGAGCTAACCACTGGTCAAACGGCTATACATCACTATTCTTTCCACTTATTTAACAAATACTCATATAAGGCAGGAAACTTTATGATGAGCCAAAACAGATGATCTTGGCTTATAGAGTCTACACGGTCAGGGATATTTTCAGAAAATTAAGCCTACATAGAATAAAGGTTTGCATCTATTTAGGGAAGTTGAGTTTGAGCTAGAATTAAAGTATACTTAAAACGTCATAGGCAAAATGGAGAAAGAGTTGCTTTTCTTGGGCAATGAAACAATGTGCAAAGGCGTACTGCAGAAAAACTGAGACAAAAAGAAAAAAGAAAGAAAAATTGAAAGGTGGTGTAAGAGTAAAGAGTGTCAGGTGACTCATCAGAGCACGGGAGGTTTTGTTACATCCCAGTAAAAGTTCAGAGAGAGGCATCTGACCTAACTCTGTGTGAATTTTATTCATTTATTTTTATTTGAAAGGCAGAGTGAGACCCCGTGCTGAGCCAGGCTGAAGTCTCACTGTCCCACACAGGCTCCAGGGAACCAGGAGCTCCTTCTGTGTTTACACTCCAGAAGAAACTCCCAAAATAATCATGAATATACTTAGAAAAATCTTGATTATAACACAGTGTAAAATAGCACATCATCTAATACCTCAAAAAAAAAAAAAAGAAAATCACAAATTTTGCAAAAGTATAAAAATATTTAGTAAAAAGTTACAATGTGTGCAATATACTATTTGTATTTTTAAGACTTGGAAAAATATTCCTTTTTACAAACATGTTCACTCTATTTCACCTACTTCTATGTGAGTGACTCAGAAATGTCTATTGTCAACAATCATTCTTTAGACTCAAAGCTCATTAATTCAAGAACATGGACTTTCAATCAGACACTGTACTGTGTTGTTTTTCAGTAATGAAAACTCAACTTTACTTCGGCCTCAGTGGCAAAAAAATTCGCTAAAAATCTAGACATATTGAGAAATTCTTACTGGTAGCAGTTAAGTCAAATACTTCATGTATATAATCATTTAAGCAAAAAGAATTTTCTGAGTGGTAAGCTAATGACATGATGCAGGTGCTATTCAGGAAGAGTGTGCTAGCCTTACCTGAATAGAAGGGACATCTGTGAAAGCTTTTATAAAATCATCCTCATCAACTGCTCCAGCACCTCCTTCTTTAGAAGCACCTGAAAATTAAAAGTAATGGAGCACATGAAAAATAGAACTCATTTGACATAGTAAAAGTTTAATTTTGATGGATATTTCAATTTATGAGAAAGCATCGAAAAATTCAATCTTTCATAAAGTCAAGGTACCTAGAAGCATTTGATTAACTCTTTGTAAGTAAACAGGTTAGCCTGATAGTAAAATATAACCTATAAAATAAGGAGAGCCTTAAATCACACACTTCACTCAACACCTTCAGGAAAAAACACATTTAAGTGAAAAAGTGAACATTTACAAGGCAGAACAGCAATTTAAAGTGACACTACATCTCAGCAGAAATGACAACAAAGCTGTTAAATATACCTTGAAAATGTGATACCAGATTTTCTACCACTGCCAATATGTTAAATAGCAAAAATGTTAAACTTGCAACTGCAGTAACATGGGGGGAAATGGTGGGAGGAGAAATTAGGGAGGGAGGAAGAAGACTTATTTTTAGACTTATTTATTTTTATTGGAAAGGTAGATTTACATAAAGGAGAGACAGAGATAAAGATTTTGCATCCAGTGATTCACTCCCCAAGTGACTGCAATAGCCGGAGCTAAGCCAATCCGAAACCAGGAGCCAGCAGCCTCTTCCAGGTCTCCCATGTGGGTGCAGGGTCCCAGGCTGTTGGGCCATCCTGGACGGCTTTCCCAGTCCACAAGCAGGGAGCTGGATGGGAAGAGAATCAGAAGCGGAGCTGTGGGACACGAACCAGTGTCTATATGTGATGCTGGTGTCACAGGTAGAGGTCCAGCTCACTCTGCCATGGGACTGGCACCTCAGTGGGCATTAGAGGCGGTAATGAAGTCACTGAATTTCAGCTGTAATTATACTCTTTAAAAAATTAAAAGTTATTTTTGATTTTATACCCACCCACCCAAGTAAGGGTAAGCGTGAAACAGAAATTTTTTCTATCCACTGGTTTCTACCCCAAATGCCCTGTTGGGGTCCGTGCAGTATATGTGGGGGACATGAGTGGGTGAGAGTGTTCCGTTGCAGGCAGGGCCACAAGGAATTTCCCGCTGTTCGGCAGGGCCAGCCCGGCAGATGTCTCCACAACCACCTGAATGCAGCTCCACCTTCTTTTGCATGGACACCGGACCACCCTGCAGAAGAATTCTAATCCATCCTGGCATTTGCTACTGCGAGGTTAACCTTTTGCTCAGCCTGAGCTTGGAGGTCAATATCTTGCAAAAAGGGCCCTTTATCATTCCTACTGTCTTGGCTGTCCCCATTGAACCTATGCTAATCAAGGGACCTGTATTTAGGCTTTCATTCTTTCCTTGATCTTTAAGTTCTTTAAGTTTTCTTTGTGATACAAGATTGAATTGTAGGATAAGAATTGTAGCAGGAACTTCTAGGTACTGGCAGCAGGAACTTTTAGGTAATACTATGGCAAAAGTTATCTTTAGAAACACCCACTTGACCATGAAGTAAAAAGTCTGGGCCAGAGTTTGACTGATTTTGTATAAATAAAGTGGACAGCTTTTGTGCGTGGTCCATTATGATCATGAAGTCCTAGTGGTCCGTCTCTTTCTTTCCTCTTTACACCTCATCCACGCACCCTTTGCGAGTTCCGAACTCAGCTGGAGCTGGACTCCGGCAATGCCCCCAAACAGCTTGAGCTGGCACAGGCCAAAGGCAGATGCTCAGAACTCGATCTGAATCTGCTACATAGCTGCCAATCACCTGAGCCATCATCTGCTGCCCCCCAGGGTGCACATTAGCAAAAGGCAGAATCAAAAGCAGAGGAGTCAGGGCTCCATTCCAGGCACTCAGACACTGCATGCAGCTGTCCCAAGCAGTGGCTTAACCCACTGTGCCATAACGCCTGCATTCCAAGTCCATTCTTTCCTTGAGGTGCTGCACTTACAGTTTTCCACTAACCATTCTGTCTGTTGATTTTATCTGTTTCCAGTGAAGCTCTGCCTAAGGGGTAGGGAATAGGGTGTTGAAGCGACAACAGACCTTGAAGGAAGAAGGGACCCATTCCTACCCAATTGCTTCTTGATCTTACTAGTAAATCCTGGCAACTCTGGTGGACTCTCTGGCAGCCGCATCTACACCGACGTGGCAGTTTTCCTACCGCTCACTGGGTCAGCTCACGGCACCCCCAACAAACGCCAGCGGCAGCTGGCCAGTGCTCTCCTTGGCGGTCTAGTCCATGAGCCGCGGAGGCTTCTGCACAGCTTTCATTCTAGCACTAATCTTACTCCCCTGGGCCTAGGCGTGGTGGCCCCTGCAGTAACTGCCACCTCCACGATGGCTTAGTGCTCGTTCCCACCAACACCCATTGGACAACTTTGTACACAGGCTGAGCATTTCTAACCTGAAACTCTCTGACAGCAAAAACGGAAAATGTCAGATCATGAAACTGCTTCATGAAAGTCCTTTAACAAAAGTAACAAGGACAAAAGAATTTTAGATTACTCAAAATATTATAGAAAATTACCTTCAAGCTGGCAAATGAGGTGTATATAAAGGATGAATGATATAAAGGGTGAATGTGTATCATGTTTAGACTTGGGCGCCATTCCCAAGTTATTTCATTACACACACACTGCATCTTTCCCTTCTCCCTCCCCAAAACTTTTATAAAATTATTTAAAATTCCTTTTATATAATACTTCAGAAAATTTTGGTAGCAAATGTATTTATTTGAAAGGCAGTTAGAGAGACAGAGAGAGAGAGAGAGACGGAGAGAGGTCTTCTTCCACTGGTTTACTTGCTGAAGACTCTCAAAAGCCAGAACCCAGCCTGCTGGAAGCCAGAGGTCAGAAAGCCCCTCTGATTCTCCCACTCAGGTGCAGGGACCCAAGCACCTGGGTCACCTCTGATACTTTCCCAGGAGCTGGATTGGAAGTGGAGCAGCTGGGATGCTGGCCTACCTGCCGCAAAACAGCACCCGCCCTGCCACAAACTTTTAAATGCACCCTGATACAGTTAGGGGACAAGAACCCTTCAACCTTCAATACACAAGTCAACAGGGGAAAAACAAATATCCCAGCCCAGCAATGTCAATATAGAGCCTTTACTGGAGATAAACATCAGGGTAAACCACAGACAAGGACCACCCTGAAGTTGTGTAACATGGACACAAGATCAGATGCCAACAGCACTAACGATAGAGGGGTATCGCTATGAATCCTGCTGGATAAGGAAAATGAAGACACAAAAGAACACTACTGAACGCTCCCCAAAACATCCTTTAGTAACAAAGCTGCATTTCACTTCACCGACAGAAGAGGGCAGGCTTGCACCAAGAAACTGAATTCACTGTATTACTTGTTACTTACGTTTCAAGAAAATCCAGTACATTCTCATGAACACAATAACTAATCTAACATCTATACTGGAAATAATAGAAAAAAACAACAACATAGGAATGAAAACCTTACGGGCTGATGAAAGTAATATAACATCCTCAAAAAACAAAACACAAATCATGAAAAAGTTCTTAAAATACTCCCACACGAATTCAATTCAGTTAAACATAAAATGCAGGCATGAAAGCAAGATGACTCAACGATGTTAAAAACCTCTGATCACAAATAGAAGATCTGAAAAGATAGTGGGCTAAAGTGAGAGAATTTTTTTCTTAAAAAAAAAAGGACAAAAATAGCTGACAAATAAATTTTAATTTAGCAGTTATGCATGACTAACTAGATGCACTGTGGTTTAAATAATAAGAGAAATTATGAAAATTTTCCAAGATATTTGAGTATGGAAATAAAGTACACACAGATTAAGATTAAAATTAATAAATAAAAACAGAACTAAAGTAACAAGCTAAATTAAGTCACAAACAAATTGAACAAATTCAGAGCATAGAACAATCTAAAGAGATAACTGTCTTAAATCCTTAAAGATATAAATGCTATGGAGATTAAAAATTGGCTAAAAGACCATTTCATAGAAAACATGACAGAATTTTCTTGCATATAATGAGGTATTATGATTAGAGTGCATTTATAAGTCTTAGGAAGCATATATATGTTAAAGATTTGTAAGTAAAATGTCATGCCATCTACAATTTACTTTTAAGTAGTTGAGATTTTAAAAAATGGGTATAGGAATAAATCTTGACAGAGAAAATTCAAACAAATATGGGAAATCACTAGTTATAAATCCAGGTGATGAGTGTGTACCATGGATCCACTACTTAGACCATACAAGACAATCCTCAGAATAAATTTAAAAAATCAGTACTCTATAGCAGGAGTAGGTACAATTTTGTCAGAAAAAAGGACAGAACCTCCAGAAAAAGATCAAAAGATGAGAGATGCTACTTCAATGCAATGGAATAAAGAACATTTTTAATTGCCTAGGCTTAACTAGACATCTAAAAGGACAGCATCTCCCACAACAAAACTTCTAAAATTTGATGCAAAAATGCCACAAAGGTAGACTGAAATGTAGTTGTATATTTCAATAAAAGACCTAGGATTTTTTAATTAAACCAACTGATGCGAGGATGAAATAGCATCTAATAGAAGATATGCTAATCCCACCAATGCATTTGTATTCTCTGAATCCTACTAAAACATAAACTGCAGGAGAACAAGGTCTTGGTTTTTGTTCAATGATATTCCCCAGAGATTATACAAAAGTGACAGACCACTAAAAGCCTTCAGTAAGTATTTGCTAGCTGATGCTAAATGAATAGGTGGACAGAACGTTAATTGCAAGAAAATCAAGTAATGCTTCACCCATCACAATGGCAATAATTGATGAGTCTGTATATTCCATGTATAAGAAAGTAAACTGTATTTCTTAACATTAGAAACATCCACAATCCCATTTAGAGGTACCTATTCTATAGAACCGCAGCCTCAGAATATCATAGTACATAGAGATCTGAGATCCTTGTAATAGCTGGAGCTGCAAACTGATGACAGTGACAGGCAAATGGTTTACTAACTCACGCTGCATCAATAACGGGGCATACACACGGGAGATCTGGCTTGTGAGGAG